TCCCTTAGTTCATGTCCATGGATGGTGCGTATAAGTTCTTTGGCTTCTCCATGTCCTACACTATTCTTAACCTCCCCCTGTCTATTTTCTACCTACCAATTATGCTTCTTAATTCCTGCACCTTTTCCCCATTCTCTCTTTTTCTCCTCTCAGCTGATAATTCTCCAAATGACCTCCATATCTATGATTCTCTTCCTATTCTGGTTGTTTGATTAGTTTGTTTTTGTTTTTGTTTTTTAGATTCAGTTGTTGATAGTTGTGAGTTTGTTATCATTAGAATGTTCATAGTTTTGACCTTCTTCTTTTTCTTAAGTATTTTCCTTGAACATTTCATGTAATAATGGCTGGGTGATAATGAACTCCTTTAGCTTTACTTTGTCTGGAAAGCACTTTATCTGCCCTTCCATTCTAAATGATAACTTTGCTGGGTGGAGTAACCTTGGATGTAGGTCCTTGCTTTTCATCACTTTGAATACTTCTTGCCAGTCCCTTTTGCTTGCTGTCTTATGAGAACTCCTTTGTATGTAAGTCTCCGCTTTTCTCTTGCTGCTTTTCAGGTTCTCGCTTTATTATTAACCTTTGGCATTTTAATTATGATGTGTCTTGGTGTGTTCCTTCTTAGGTCCAACTTGTTTGGGACTTTCCGTGCTTCCTGGACTTGTATGTCTATTTTCTTTGTCGAATTAGGAAAGTTTTCTTTCATTATTTTTTCAAATGAGTTTTTAATTTCTTTCTCTTCCCCGTCTTCTCTTGGCATCCCTATGATTCAGATGGTGGGACTTTTGGAGATGTTCCAGAGTCTTCTTATACTCTCCTTGTTTTCTTGAATTCTTGTTTTGGTTGAATGTTCTGTTGTGGTTGAATTTTTATTTCTTCCTTATGTTCCAAATCATGGATTTGAATCTCGGCTTCCTTCCCTTCACTGTTGGTGCCCTGTGGAGTTTTCTTTATTTCACTTGGTGTAACCTTCATTTCTTCCCTTATGTTGTTGCTATACTCAATGATTTCTCTGAGCATCCTGATCACCAGTTGTTGAACTCTGCATCTGATAGGTTGGTTATCTCCATTTTGTTTAGTTCTTTTTTCTGGGGTTTTGTTCTGTTCTTTCATTTGGGCCACACTTCTTCATCTCCTCCATTTGGCAGCCTCCCTGTGTTTGTTTCTGTGTATTAGGTAGAGCTGCTTTGACTCTCTGTCTTAGCGTACCTGTTAAGTTGTATGGGGCAGAGCCTTAGGTGTTCACCAGGGCAGGGCAACCCACTTCACTACTTTGTGGCACTGTGTGGAGGTATGGGTCAGAGAGGGGATAATGCCACTGCCTGGCTCCTGGCTATTTGCCTGGCATTTGCCCCACTTCCAGTCACTTCACCCACTCCCCGTGTGTAACTAGCACCCTTCCAGCTGTTGCCCTGGTGTTGAATCCCAGAATGGGTGGGTTTGTATATATTTTAAGACCATTGGGGCCCTTCAAATGTACTCTCCTGAGTAACTAGCAGTTTCTTCCATCACCCTAACCTTGTTTTCTCTGGCCAGAATTTACGAGGCTTTCTCTTCCCAGTGATGAAACCCTGGACTTCACAGTCTAGTCTGGGACTGGGATTGCTCACTCCTAAAGTATCCCCCCCAGATTTTTATACACCACATGTGAATGTGGGACTTCCTGGTTCTTCCCAGACCTGTGTCTCTCTGCATCATGCCTCACCATGTCCTCTCTAGCCCAGCTCCCCGGCTCCATCCCTCCTACCTATCTGGATGAATATGGCTCCTTTAAATCCTTCATTACAGACTTCCATACAGTTTGATTTTTGGCAGTTCTGGGTGTTTTTGTTTTGTTTTGTTTTGAGGTTAGTTTTGATTCTTCTTCTTTTTTAAAAGATTTTATTTATTTATTTTTAGAGAGGGAAAGGAGGGAAATAGAGAGAGAGAGAAACATCAATGTGCGGTTGCTGGGGGTCATGGCCTGCAACCCAGACATGTACCCTGACTGGGAATCGAACCTGCGACACTTTGGTTCCCAGCCCATGCTCAATCCACTGAACTACACCAGCCAGGAGTTTTGATTCTTCTTGTGGTTGCACAAGGAGGTGAAGCATGTCTACCTACGCCTCCATCTTGACTGGAAGCCCTAATGTGGATAATTGTTACTGAACAAACGCCATTATGGGGAGAAGATGCAGCTCATTTTCTCATAGGCTGAACATGTAATTAACATTAATTTTGAAAGGAAAACATTTTTTTTCTTGTGAGCCCCCAAATTAACATCTATTTGTGCTAAAACAACACCAATCCCATCAAAATAGACACAATCACATTAGTCATATCATTGGTAAATAATTATCATAGGACACATGCCTGTGTTCACAGAGCATCCATATGATACCTGGTGTTTATGTAATTAGATGTTTAATGCAAAAAAGAAAAGACAAGCAATAAAGATGAAGGATGTGAATGAAAATGATGAACACTTTCATAAGTACTTTAAAAGGATAAACTTAATGCAACCCACATGATTTCTAAGACTGCAAGAATGACACATGGGCACTTACGCTGAACGTGCCCTGTGGCTCCTTAGCCCAAGAAATCCAAATCCATCCTCTAAATGTGAAGAATGCCCTATAAGCTAAAGTGGAAGTATTAAATAAAACTGATTAAGCCTACTTCTTACAATATCTCCTCATCCCCTACCCTCATCTCTCTCTCTCTCTCTCTCACACACACACACACAGTTCTATATAGGGCAGGACTGAGTAGTATAATAGCAAGAAGTTGTAAGTGGTAGGTAAAAAAGAAATAATACATAGTACTGCATATATCTATATCTGCATGATACACATTATATGTAATGTATGTGTCTCCATATGTAGAATGAAAATAAAATATATATCAAGAGGAAAGGGAACAACAGAGGTGGAGATGGGGTGAGGAAGGTCACATCTAATACAGGATAATCAGGGAAAGAAGGTCTGACTGGTCAGAGGTGACATTTCAGCACAGCTGTGAATGACGTGAGAGAGCGAGGCATGGAACTATTTAGGGAAAGAGCATTCTGGCAAGCGAACAGTAAGTACAAAGGCCCTGTGGCAGATCTTGCTATCTGTGCTCAAAGAATGGCAAGGAGGCTGGTACAAGGAAGCCCAGTGAAGAAGGGCAAAGTGGTGGGAGTCCATGCTGGCCAGATAGCTAGATGCTAGGTTAGGAAGCCTTGCTGGCAATGCTCAAAACCTGAGTACTTTGGAAGCCACTGGAGGATTTTGAACAAGGATGCAATCAGATTTATATCTGAAAAACAGACTATTGGTAAGGAAGATAAATTAGGAGAATATCATGGCATTCAACCGAGAGGAGGAGATAGTTTGGGTTCAGGTTAAAATTATTCAGACAGAGACAAGTAGCTATACAGTCCTTTAGTTGTATTTTGAATACAAAGTCAACAGGAGTTTATCTGCTTTGGGTTGAATGTAATATATCAGAGAAAAAGAGGGATCAGTACTACTAATAACAGCAACTGCTAACAGTAACCTAATGCATACTTGGTGCCAGGTCCTCTTTCTATGCTTTCCATATATTAATACTGTATGCCTTTCTAGGGCCTTCCCTATGCCAGATTGGCAGTGTTTTAACATACATTCACTCACATCTTCACGCCTGTCCCATAGGGTGGGCACTTTTATCTCCATTTTTGGGTGAGAGGCACAGACTGGTTTGACAGTTTGTGTAAGGATGACCTAGAGAGGAAGTGGCAGAGCTGAGCTCTGACCCCAGGTTCTGGCTGCAGTGTTGAGGTTCATAACCACCGTGCCCAAGGCCTCTTGTGATTACAATGTTTTGATCTGAGCAGCTGGGTAGGCAGCTGGGTAGGCTGGATGGTGCTATTAACTGAGACAGGAGTATCTGAGGCAGGGCAGTGGATTTGGGGGCATGGATGTCAAAAGGTTGGGCTTTGGGTGTGCAGAGTTTGAGACACCTCTTAGACCTCCAAGGGGAGATGTTGTGTGGCCACTGGTTGGATATAAAGAATCTGGAGTTCAGGGCTAGAGAGAGCTATGTGGAATGACCAGCATATAAATGGAATTTAAAGTGATGGGACTGGATGAGATAACCTACCATGTGACCATTGCAGAGGACTAAACCCTGAGACACTCCAACATTGGGAGTTGAGAAATAGAAGGTAGCTCCCACAAAGGAGACTGGGAAGGAGCAATGTGTGGGGCAGGAGGAAAACCAGGAGAATGTGCTGGAAGCCGAGAGTTTCAAGGAGAGAACTATCCACTCCGAGAAATGCTGCTGAGAAGCCAAGTAAAGCAAGCGTGTTTCAGTCCTCATGATGCTGAGTTTAATTGCTGCACTCACTTCCTTCAAGGGGAGGAAGGAGTTCTTTTATTATTTGCTCTCACATGTTCAGTTCCCTCACAGATAGCTCACTAAATAAAGGTCATTTGATTCTAGTTACATTGTTAATTTGAATTCAAATTAAATAACTTTTGGGTATCAGGTATGGTACTAGGCACCAGAAATGTAGGGGTAAGCAAACCACTGATTTTTTGCTTTTGAGAATGGACCAGGCAAGAAGGGGAGGAGGAAGAGGGTGAGGAAGAGGAAGAAAAGGAAGAGAAAGAAGAAGACAGTGATTTTGATATCTGAGGATTGCCTAATGAACTTAGTCAGGAGACCCTGTAGAAAAGCCCAAAACAGGGATGAGTCACGTAATGATGGAGTTACATTCTTGACATACGTGTCTTTAGGTGGTTTTGTCATTGTGCAAACATCACAGGGGGCACTTAGACAAACACAGGTGGTGTAGCCTATGACATATGCACCTAGGCTATATGTTGTCACCTATTGTTGGCAGGCTACACACCTGTGCAGCATGTTACAAGATCAAACACTGTGGGCAATAGTAACACAATTGTAAGTATTCATATAAATATGTAAACGTTAAAAGGTTGCAGTAAAAATAAAATATAAAAGATAGAAGTGGTACAGCTGTGTGGGGCACTTACCGTGAGTGGAGCCTGCAGGACTGGACGCCGCTCTGGGTGAGTCAGTGAGTGAGCGGTGAGAGAGTGTGAAGGTCCAGGACAGTACCGTGCGCTGCACTCTGTAAATGCTGTGCTCGTAGGCCATGCTAAATGTATAAAAACTATTTTTCTTTCTTCAATAATAAATTAACCTTAGTGCCCTGGCTGGTGTGGCTCAGTGGGTTGAGTGCCAGCCTGTGAACCAAAGGGTCATTGGGTCAATTCCCAGTCAGGGCACATGCCTCGGTAGTAGACTAGGTCCCTGGTAGGGGGTGCTTGAGAGGCAACCACACTTTGATGTTTCTCTCCTTCTCTTTCTCTCTCCCTTCCCCTCTGAAAAAATAAATAAATAAAATCTTTTTAAAAATAAATAAATTAACCTTAGCTTACTGTAACATTTTTACTTTATAAACTTGTTTTAACATTTCGACTCTTTTGTAATAACACCTTGTGGAATACAAACACCTCAGACAGCTGTACAAAAACAATTCTCTACATCTCTCTTCTGTATCAGTCACAGTGAGTAATGCACTGCCATGTTATTGTGGCTACAAGGTCACTATGCAACAGGAATTTTTCAGCTCCATTACAGTTTTATGGAACCATCACTGTACATGCCACCCACCATTGACCAAAATGTCATTTTACAGCTTATGACTGTAGTCGACAAACCTCCCACCCAACGATCCCCTCTAGAATGAGTGTAGATTTTTCAGACATGCTGGTTCTTAACAGAATTACCCGCTGTGAGCTCTTTCTCTGGTACCTACTGGAATGTGTGTGCAGCCCGGACAAAGGCGGCATAGCGAAGAAGAAACATGCGATTCAGGTAGTGAAAGACGGTTGATGAAGACCAGGAAAATCCCCAGAGTGTGGTAAACCGAGATCCCGGGGCCACAACTGTGCAACCACCGGTCTAGAGAGCAAACAGTGTGCAGCGATTGTCTGATGTGGCGAGACGTATCGAGGGGAGATTTATACCCTTGAGGAAAAGTATGGGGAAGCGATGAATGGGGGAAGGAGGTAGGGGGTCTTCTTTTTGGAGTATGTAGACATCCCTTTAGTCCCCAGGTTTCAGTATAGAAGCCCCATCACAGTTGTGCCCAGCGTCCTGTCCAGAGTCTCTCTGGGGTCACCTCTGTGAGTGAAGCTTCAGTGTCCTGCTGGGGGAGGGGGGAGGGGCAGTTGCTCAGTGGCATGAGGTAGGTGAGGAGATGAAGTAAAATTTCCTCATATACAGATCTGACACCAATGCCATCTTCTGCCTTCCTTCCCCATCATCGTCACCACTTCAAGAACTGTTGTTACCCCCAATTCCTGATCCCGTTCGGGCTTCTAAGGCATAAGTAAGCCTGCTTTTGGGCCTCCTATGCTGCTGGCTTCAGTTTCAGCCTTTTCTGTTTCTTGTGTGTGTTTTAAGTAAATTTTTACTTACTCATCTGTTTTCTGGCTTCCAAAATTTTCTTCCTGTTCTTTTCTTTTTACTCTCCTTATCCTTATGGTTTATGATGTTTTTATTCCACTACAGTCATTTTAGCGAGGTTTAGGAGGAAACGAGAGGTAAATATATGTGTTCAATCTGCCATGCTATTTAAAAAGGAGTTTTTAAGAAATTGTGAAATATTTGCATAGTTTAATAAATATTTATAATGTGAACAACCACTAAGCAGTGCTCGAATCAAGAAATAAAACATTGGGGGCACCTGAAGAGGCCTCCAGGTATCCCTCCCTGATGGCAGTTAGATCTCTAAATTTCACTTTTTTTAGACGTGTTTGAGGAATTCTCACTACAATACAAGGAGCATTGTAAAATAGGATCAGTACAATAACAAGCTCAGCATTTTCTTTAGACAATAAACAGTGGTGGGTGCTTGGCTTTATAAAGATGAACAAGCAAAGCCCCGTTCCCCAAGGAGCTTATCCCTCTTTCACAAGAGTGAATTAAATGGCACAGACTTGGAACAGAGAGGACACCTTTCAGAGAGTCTAGCTAGCTCACCACATTCCTGTGTAGTCTCCCTTCCCCACCCTCAGGGTGGATCTCTGCAGCCCTAATGGGAACCCTGCTCCTCTGGCCACAGCTGATTGGATTAGAGTTCTAGGGATCTATGACTCCAGTTGCACCAATGGGATTTCCTCCCTAAGGGATTTGAATTAGAATTCAAAGGTGCTCATTGGTCTGTGCTGCCCACTGAGTTGAGGGCACGTCCACACTGGCCTGGACACTTCTGACCATGTATCCGTGGCCATGCAGAGAAAACCCATCTGGAGAGGGAGAGGAGGAAACCCAGCAGGTGTGTAGAGTTGCTTTCCAGTTTCTGCTTTCAGACTCGTGGACTCCATGAGATATTCCCGCCTTGATTAAAACAGCTATAATACTGTGCCACTGTGAAGGCCAAAAAATGAGTATTAACATGTGAAGAGGGCTCAAAGCAAGAGAGAGGGTATATCTGGTTGAAGAGTAGATAGAATTAGGAGTAGTGAAATGTTCTGAGAAAAACTTTTGACAATTGAGTGCACCAGAAATGATGGGTAAAATTCTAACAGGAGGGGATGGCGTGAGAGAGTTTATAAGCGAAAGGAACCGTGCAGGGAGAGAAAATTGGGGACCTTGTGCCAAGATGATCCTTGTGAAAATTCAAGAACTCTTCAAGCAGTTTCTGTCTCTGCATGAGCTGTGACACATGCCAGCACATTCTAGGTCCTTTTCCCACTTGGAAGTAATTAACAGCAAGTGTCACTCCATTTTTATAGGCCTCCTTCTAGCTTCTTTGCTTTAAAAAAAATTAAAGAGGCCATCCAGGGAAACTCTTGTATTTCTACAGAAAAAAATCTTCTCCAAAAAGATGTGATGTAACTAATAATGCAATGCTGTGATCTTCAGTATAAATTTTATTCTTGTTTCCTCATTCCAGGATAAGTGGTAATTAAACACTTCCCAGTAGTGTGAGGTGACTTACAGGAAATCCAAACCCAGTTTCACTCCAGGGAATCCTGTTAGACTGTCTTGGCCCTTTTCTCAATATCTGTATCCATGGCCTTTAGATGTATCGGGTCACCCATTTTCAGAGCCACCAATTACTTTTCTAGGAAAGTAGGTACTTTGCCAATTTTTAAAAACACACCACAAATGGGACTTTAAAAAGTATGTAAAATACCTCTTGTGGTCTGAACAGCCATTGTCCACAAACTGTGCTTCCAAAATCTGAATGAACTATCCAGTGATAAGGTATTACTTAAACAGGCATATTTCATATATATTTTTAAACAATATTTTACTTATTTAGTTTTAGAGGGGAAAGGAAGGAGAAAGAGAGGGAGAGAAATGTCAATGTGTGGTTGCCTCTCATGTGGCTCCCACTGAGGACCTGGCCCACAACCCAGGCATGTGCCCTGACTGGGAATTGAACCAGCAACCCTTTGGTTTGTAGCCTGGTGCTCAATCCACTGAGCCACACTAGCCAGGGCCATATTTCATATTTTTATATGTTTATAAGTACATTGATTAATGAGAGGAGAAAAACTGAACTCAGTAGGAAAGTTTGGAGAGAAACAAAGAAGTGAGAATTTGTACCTCATAGCTAATATTATTTACCTTATTTAGGGAAAGACCTAATTTTCATTCCAAAGTAACTTTTAGCCAACAAGCCAGTGAAGTTATAAAATTTTTTTTGAAGTTATACATTTGAAGGCAGCTTATGTTACTCTCTTAACTATTGACCCATTCATAATTTTAACTATTATTCATTCCCAAACCAACCTTTATCATAGTCTTGCAGTTAGAACTTCTCTGAGCTCAAAATACTGTCCTTTTTTCACCAAGCACTGAACACAGGTATTCCCATTACAACAGATGTCATTGCAACATTTTCTGTATCATGAAGAGATTTTCATATTCCAGCCTTATATAGGTAAATAGTCCAATTTAAAAATGGGCAAAAGACCTCAAAGGTCATTTGGGCAAAGACTCCTGTAAAATCAGAAGTTACAAAATAGTCATGATTATGCAAAGTACAGCATAAGGTACATAGTGATATTGTAATAGGTACGGTATCAGGTGAGTGCTTAGATATAATCAAGTGGATCACTTCAGAAGTTATATACCGGTAAATGCCTAACCCCTATGCTGTACACCTGAGGTTAATACAATGTTGAATGACATCTGTAATTGAAAAAAAATTAATTAAAAAATACAATAGAAAAATACCTATACATCGAATAAAAATATTACTACTTAACGTTTTCTCAGCTGAATTTTCTTCTCATGTGTGAAAACAAAAAAAAGAGATAAACAACTTCATATATTCAAAGGCTCAGAAAATAGAGAATTCACATATTCTTTTTGAAAACACTATTTGCACTGGCCGGGTATCACAGTTGGTTAAAGTGTTGTCCTGGTGCACCAAGGCTGTAGGTTCAGTTCCCAGCCAGGACACACACTTACACACGCAATGATATATATGCGGAACAACAAATCAGTGTCTGTCTGTCTCTCTGTCGTCTCTATCTCTTTCCCCCTTCCTCTCTCTCGCTCTCTAAAAAATAATCAATAAAGAAAAAAAGAAAACATGATTTGAATATATATATATATATATCAGATATTGAAAGATCTTAAAGAAGAACAATATAGAGTTTATACATAGTTCACGACATTGTGTGAATGGTATAAAATAAGGGAAACTAACTAGGGAAGATGGGCCATTTCTAATAGCAGTATTTCCAAGGCTCACTCACATCAGTGCCATTCTCAATAAACTGGAAAACAGCTAGACAATTATATAATGCCAGCACTTTTAGTCCCAGGGGCTATTTGTATATAATCTCATTTACTCCTCTGTAACAAGGTAAGGAAAGAATTATTATCCCCAGTTTGGATGTGGGAAAGTAAAACGTAGCAGTGTGTCCTTGCTCAGGAGATTGTGCCCAGCAGGTAGCAAAGTCAGGAAGTCAGGTTTCAAAGTCTAGCGTTTAACCTCAAGCTCTTCTGCCTCTCACATGACTATGAAGATAAACTTGTTGTGAGCTGCCTAAGGTTCTGTTCCTTACTCTAAATATCTGAAGAAAATGAGATTTGTTTAAATAGCATTTTTCATATCTAGGGCTATTGGCTTTAAAGGAAGTTTCCAGGAAATTGATTCAACAGCTAAAAGAGTTCTTGTGTTGCATTCCTCTATGTTATGCTTCCAGGTGGCACTCGATGTCCCTTTCTCACTCTCTCTTTCTCTCTGTGTGTATAGACACAGATATATAGATATAGATATATAGATATATAATAGATATAGGGATAAATATGTATAGTTACAGTAAATTTTATACAGTTGGAACATAATTTCAAACCATATGTTTGTTTAAGTAATTGCATTATTTGGATTAACTTTCATTTCCTTCTTTTCTCTTTGTGAAAATGTAATACAAATAATGCCAGTTTACAAAAGAGAGAGAGAGAAAGCTTTATTCACACACTGGACTGGGCTAAATGCGCGCTCAGGATTGTTTACCAAGGACCGACTGATAAATTATGCTGATGTGTGAGAATGAACAAGAATGGCCTGAAATAGACCTATGCCTGGCACATTTGGCTGGAAGGTCTGTTTTAGAAGAAAAACCTGAGAATCACATTACAAGTGTGACTCACGCGTTGTTAGTAATATTTCAAGGCAAGCCACTTAAAATATATCCTGAGTACTGACACTGGAAACGATCTTTTCTTCCATACGCTTTCAAGTGTCTTCCTTTAAGTGTACATATTTATGACCACGTCTAACACATTTGAATTCTACAAATATAGCACGTGATTATGAGAACAAATTCTGAAATCAGACCTCGATTAAAAATCTTAATCTCCACCATTACCTTGGGCAAGTGATTTAATTTTTCTAAAACAGCTTCCTCATTTGAAAAATGGAGATGATCCCTAACTCAAGGGTCACAGCGAGAATTACGCTCGTCGATGTCTAAGGCGCCCAGCATAGCACATGGTAAGATTCATTATAAATAGTAGATAGTAGTGAAATGTGTTATACAGACTTCCTCCTTGTATAATCGCTTACCTGCGTAAGGACTGGCACTTCAGCTCAGTGCTCGCTGTCACCCCAATCGCCTGTTAATTTATCAAATAAGGAGATCTAAAAATCCAGTTGCATCTTGTTATAAGGACCTGGACTTTCGAACTTGGACAGCCTGACAACCGCCCTTCGATCCACGCTCCCGATTCAGTCTCCTGCTTGTGTCAGTGATAACTCTCGTCGGATGCAGATGATTCAGTCTGCGCTGAGCTCTCCCCGTGCTTTCTCGGGACGCGGCTGGTGGCCCCAGTTCTCACCTGCCCAGGTGTCCGCTGCGTCTGGGAGGTCCCGGCTGCTGACGACTCCTTAGCTCGGCTTCGGCGGGTCTGGGAGGTCCCAAATCCAGGGCTCTGTTGGCCGCGGTGGTAGCACGGCGGCCGCCGCTGCGGGTCCTCCTCCCAACTTCGCCGGACTGCGGGCCCGCGGGGACTCCGAGAGCTGGACGACGCCTCCCATCACCGCGGCGCGCCACGCCTGCCACGCCCGCGGCGCGGGGAAATAAGAAGTGAGCGCCAGGCGCGCAGGGCAGGCGACAGTTCGGGCTGCGCTCCCTCGAGTCTCCAGTTTGCGCTCAGGGCCCCGGCAACCGTGCGGCCATGGACCGGTCGCGGCAAATCGGCACCTTCGTGGTGTGGGACTACGTGGTGTTCGCCGGCGTGCTGCTCATCTCGGCCGTCATCGGCGTTTACTACGCCTTCGCGGGGCGCAGCAAGCAGACTTCCGAGGACTTCCTGACGGGCGGCCGCAGGATGACCGCCGTGCCTGTGGCGCTGTCCCTCTCCGCCAGCTTCATGTCTGCCGTCACCGTCCTGGGCACCCCCACCGAGGTGTACCGGTTCGGGGCCGTGTTCAGCCTCTTTGGCTTCACCTACCTCCTCGTGGTGGTCATCAGCGCGGAGGTCTACCTCCCGGTGTTCTACAAACTGGGAATCACCAGCACCTACGAGGTAAAGGGTGAGATAGGGAGGGGAGCGGGGAGGACTTGCCAGGTTCCTGCAGGGGGTTCCCAGGTGGCGGACTCACCACCTGGCTGAAATCTCGCCCTGTGCAGGTCCACCTCCGCCCCCGCCCTCCCCTTTCGGGAAGGGGTGTCCCGTAAAGGAGGCAGAAATCTTGGGACTCCTCTCAGGATGTCAGTGAAAAGGAGAGGCTTCCAACGTAAATGGAGTGATGTGGACTAGTGCTCGCTAAGGCCCCTTCTGCTTGGATTCCGAGTCAAGAAGAAAGATTTTAAAACTTTTTACCTTGGGGAGGGTAAGCCCTTCAAGTCTCAGCTCCTCCTCCTGGAAATGAATCACCGTGTGCCAGATCCTCAGGCACCACTCACCCTTCCAGGACAGCTGGGGAGACATCTGTACTCCCCTTCTGCCCTTCCACACGCACCCCTTCCACAGAGGGGCAGGTGCTCCAGGGAAACTGCTGTCTCTCTTGTCCCAGTACTTGCTTTTGAGGCCAGGTTCTATCACTTACTCGCTGGGTAACTTCAGTGGACTTATTGAACCTTTTGTGCCTACTTCATCTCAAATCTCAAAGTGAAAATAGTGATGCCACCTACCTCACCCGGTGGTTGGGAGGATTAAAAGGTGTGATGCGAGTGTAGCATTTAAAACAGTGTCTGGTACAGGGTCGGTGCTGAATAAGTGCTGGCTATAAATATTGGTGTTGTGGTGGCAGAGGTGGTTATTTTGGGATCGCTAGGAAAATTGGGCTGTGAGGTTCTTAAACAGCTCTGCCTTCTCTACGGAAAGATGCTGAAAGAAAACTGACTTTCCTACTGCACAGGTCCACTGGTTATAGGTTTTCTCAAGTTGTCTGCAGGAAGGGGCTTTGTAAAGATGGCGAATCTTTGGTTTAGTTTAGAATGTTTGGTTTATTTATTTCTTAATATTTTTAAGGCTTTTATTTATTTATTTTTAGAGAGAAGGGAAAGGAGGGAGAAAGAGAGGGAGAGAAACGTCTATGTGAGAGAGAAACATTGATCCATTGCCTCTTGTATGGGTCCCAGCTAGGAACTGGACCTGCAACCCAGGCATGCACCCTGAGTAGCAATCGACCTGGCAACCTTTTGGTTTGCAAGAGGGTACCCACGCAACTGAGCCACACCAGTCATGGCTGGTTTAGTTTACAGAGCTGTTGAACGGGAGTGTTGGGGGAGGATAAAAGTTCAGGGGATCAGTGCGATCCAGTTCAGCGCCCTCAGCGATCTCCTTCACCCAGGCACTAATCTATGAGCCACATACACAAATCTATATAGATTTCCTCTCTAATAGACCATTATCCAGAGGACTCTGAGTCTCATTCTCAGCAGCTGCCTCTGTCCTTGAACTTATATGGTGCTTGCTCCAATCCAGAGTCACTGGAAGTTGGCTTCCTAGTAAGGCTGGTTTAATTGGTGCTGTGGACAGGGTCCCAATGGCACAGTAAGTGTTAATGACAAACTACGTGGGTTCTAGTGATGTCACCCAGGGCAAGGCAGCCTGGGGACGGCATTGCTTTCCTCTGGCCATCGGGTTTGGGAGCCTTCAGTTATCACCCTAGAAGTGAGCAGGATGGAATTTCTGTTTTGCATAAAGGTAACACACTGGCTGCCCCAGCCAAACTCAATATTCTGTCATGTCTCCCCACACACACTTATGGTGTTTTGAAGGGGAAAAAAACGATAATTTAGCACTTACTGACGGTAGAAGTCAAATAAAATTCCAGATCTGGCTTCCTTTGGAACCCCCCAGCACCGGTAACACGGAGCCCACATCCCCAGTGGCCACAGGAACACCAGTTTACAGCCATTGTCATCACTCCCTGTTTCCATACTGAGGGCTCATCCATGCATTTGCACGGTACTTTCTTGTGCTAGAGAAATCTTCATCAGCATCTATGTCTTCATCAAAAATGCAAAAGGGAAAATGGAGAGGGGTGAAGGGAATTATTTTTTCAAGGGAGCTTTGAGAACATATTTCTTAGTGGATGTGAGCAATATTCCAGTACATTAATATACGAACACCTGGCTGATACCACTTACCTCATGTGTTTCACCCAACGGGACCTGCAGGCATTTGAGTCTGTGAGCTCTGATTGTGTAGTTAACCAACACCAAAACTCAGAAAGAATTTGAAGAATCTGGCGAGAGGACATCAGTTCTCACAGGTGAATGCTGCTCTCATAATCACTGACCAGTGCCTCTACAGGGCAGCGACTTAACCCAACCAGAAACAGATTTCCCACACATTTCCAGAGTGGTGGAGGCTAATTTAGCAGGGTTCCAGCTAACACTGGCAAAAAAGCAAAGCAAAACAAAACATTAACGTTTACTGAATGTTTAATACATGCTGAGCACTGGCTTTATGTTTTACATACATCATCAAACTCAGTCCTCGGAACAGTCTTTACAAGGGAGGTACTATGAGAGAGCCCCATTTTGCAGACAAAGAGCCTCAGAGCAAATAAAACTGCATAAGAGAGCATGAAGTAAAGTAGATACCTGCCTAAAGGCTGTGCAGTGGGGCGTATTGGCTGAAGGCTCTAGTGAGTCTTCTAGAGGAGTATTTTGTTTTATGGTGAGAGCTGGAGCCACTCATGCAGAATAAGAAGTCTCAAGTATAAAATCTCTCCCTATTTCTAGTTTGTTAGCTAAAATCAGCTGTTCAGAAGCATTTTTGACATCTACTTACCAGTGTCTTCAAAGTATAGTCCTGATAGGAGTCCAGCAACTTCCAGACCCACAGATAAGAAGTAAAATGCAGGAATGTAATTTCCTCATCACTTCTTCATTATCTTTCTGGATCCAGTGAAATCTGTGTGTTTGAACTGAATCATCCAGACTGTTTTAAAAAGTAATTCAGTAGAAGTTTTAGTGTCTCTAAATTATTCGAGGTTCTGAGGACTATGGCAGATCTTGGTTGATCAGCAGCACCTACTGTCATTCTCTAGTTTTGTCTGAAAATCCTAGAGCTATTTTCCAAACCTGCCTCTCAGTCACTTGGGCTCCTGGAAGGTCTCCAGGTATTGCTTTAGCAGCCCAGTAATCACCAATAGCTGAGATAGTGATAGACTTCTTGGTTCTACCTGGAGGTGGTCTCATGTGAGCTTAAGTCCATAAGTCTGCCTGGATCCCGCTGACGTTGGGGGAAAAATAAACTTCATCGAACCAAGTTACTTGGTTCAACTTGCTATGTACATTCAATTATTAGGTTGCAACATGGGGGTTCTCTCTGAGCCCAGTGTCCTCATGTGCTTATACTTAGTACCTGCTCATGGAGTTGTTGAGAGGACAGTGTACAAAGCAAATACTTTATAAATGTTAGCTGAGATTATGGAGCAAAAGTATCTTTTTCCCTCCTTGATTATTACTTAATGTTAGTTTTTTCTTTCTTCTTTTTTTCTGCTATCTGAAAAGATTATTGTTGTCAGTCTTAAAATCCTCTCTGCATGTAGTAATAACCTTTAAGTGAAAGAATGTCTTGGACTCCAGCTTTCTTCCAGCTCTGAAACTCTAGGATTCTAGCTCTGTAATACATTCTGATGCATAATATAGGAGACAGCAGACTATATTATGAATATAACGGATGTCAAGGGGAGTGGGAAGAATGGCAAGGTTGTTGGTTCTGAACAAAAATTGAGTTTGGTTGATTTAAGTTAAAAAATGATAGGAAGGATATGGGAGTAGCTCATATAACAGAGAGAAAAGCTGAACAAACTGAAAAGACAGAAGTCAGGGCAGCCTCTGAGGCCACTCTGTCAGAAGCAGTCTGCTTCTGCTCCAGTCATATTCTGTCTCTACATCTTGTCTAAGATTCAAATACCGTCCTGGCTGGTATATCTCAGTCAGTGGATTGAGCATGGGCTACAAACCAGAGGGTTGCTGGTTCGATTCCCAATCAGGGCACATGCCTGGGTTCTGGGCCAGGTTCCCAGTGGGAGCCCCGAGTGAGGCAACCACACATTGATGTTTCTCTCCCATTCTTTCTCCCTCCCTTCCCCTCTCTCTAAAATAAATAAATAAAAATCTTTGGAAAAAGTTTCAATTCAGCAAATATGCACGAGAAGAGCTGAGAAGAGAAGCTGATGAGGCCAGGCACTTTGATTGACAATTCTATCACAATTGCCTTGCATTGGGAATGGATTGATTTGCTAAGTGAACCAGGGGAACTGTACGAAGTAGATATGTAGATACCAAGAGCAAGGGGAGAACTCCGCTCATTCCAAAAATGCAGAATATAATTTCATTTATATGACATCCTGGAAAAGGCAAAACTAGGGTTGGAGAACAGATCAGTTGATTGCCAAGACTGACGGGTGAGGGGAGGGTTTGACTACAAAAGAGCAACCTGAGGGAGTTTTCCAGGGTTAGGGAACTGTTCTGTATGTGTTAAAACTCCCTGAACTGTACTCTAAAACAAGAGTCAATTTTGCTGTTTGGAAATAAAAATAATAATAAAAGAGATATAGAAAATGCAAATTAATCATGAAGTTTAACTTTCTCATTCCTTCACTTCTTAAGCTGCTTATGTCTTAAAAAAAAAAGAGTGTCCAGAGATTTTACATATAACCATTTTTCCTTTTCTTTTTGGGGGGAAACAGTATTTAGAACTTCGATTTAACAAATATGTTCGTCTCTGTGGAACAATCATCTACATCATTCAAACAGTAAGTAGCTCTCCATTAGTTTACTTTACCTTTTGTCATCTGTGCTGTTTTTAGTCAGGGCGTCTGGGCCGAGCTTTTTTTTTTGGCAAACACATGAAAGATGAAAAAGAGATGTTGAAAATAGGAGGGAACAAACAAGGAAAAACACTCATCACCCCACAGTATTAATCCTTCAGACCACTGAACAGTGTTTCAACAAATGAATTTCCTCTTGGGAAAAAAATGATTCAAGTGAATGGCAATATCGTATTGGTCAAGTGACAGTTACATTGTTTTAGGAAAATAGGCTTTTCTCCATCCCACCTCCCCACCCAAGAGACAGTAAGGGCATTGCTGAGGTGACCAAGATTTTTGAAAGAGCCGTAGTAGCTGAGCCCAGGAATTGTAACAAAGGAAAAACAAGTTGCATGTTTTGTAGTACTTTTGCAACATGTTAAATAATAGGTTTGAAAAAATTAATTGACATGGGAAGACATTAGGAAGCAATTTTCTTTGAAAGAATACTTAAAAAATGAGTCCCTTTTAAAAATTGAACCTTAAGACACAATTAAAGCAGTCACTGAGGGTAAAACAATAAAACCAGACATTCTGGAGGTGTTTCTAAAGCCACGCACACAATACAGTAATTCAAGAATATGCAAGTATAGATTTACTGTCTGACAACAATGGAAAGCAAAGACTTGCAGCAGTCAGTGCCAGAGAATGCTTCCCACTCTTCATTCAAGCTGTTGGAGGCTTGTCCTGATTGTTGCCACATGATTTATATCCATGTTCCTCTTGGCAGCTAAGTGCTTTAGGGATGGGTTTGGTAATGGAAGTCTAGGAAGAAGTTTTCATTCTTATCTTTACTCACAATAGCATTTCTCCAATCAACAACTACCTAAGCATTTGCTATAGCATGACAGAGTACCTTTGTAAGTTCTGTAGCTCAACTCCATTTTTGGTCTTTGTGAATTATACTGCTTGAAGGAGCCACTTGGATTCTGGTAGACTTTCTGACGTAGAGCTGAGGCCAGTGCGTGTGTCTGCTAACTACTCAGACCCTCTTCGGATCATTGTTAGAAGGGGCAACAGGAATGAAAAGTGGGGCCTCTGGTTCAGATGGTGGTCGGTGGTCATGTTTCAAATCTACTTGGACAGAATAATGACTGGAAAGCTAGTTTACTTGTAGAGAAAGAGGGGAGCTTTAGCATCTCCCATACGAAGGACTTACTTTCAATACTACACAATAACTTTCTTCTCATAATATAGTTCTTTTCATAGTGTTTGTATAGAGTAATCATAGAGTTAACTTTTATGTGATATATTTAAAATGTCAAGAGCAATGGAAATGATATTTTGAGATAAAAGACCTTACTTACTTATTCACTATTGTATCACAGATTAATAAATATTTATTAAATGTATAAATGAACAAAATAAATAATATAAAAAAGGCAGAATGCAGTTTTGGTTGCCTTTCATGAGTTTTTAGAGCAAATTTACACTTTTGTTTAATTAATGGACCTGCAAACTTTTACAAACCAGTTTCTAAAATTTTCACTGTTTTCTTAATTTATGCAGTGATTAACAATAGTCTGAAAGCATATAAATGAGGGACCATCCACATTTAAATTTGTATTTTTTTCTTTCTAATTGTATTAGATGTAGGAATATTAGTTTCTAGCTTGAGTTGATGGATCAGTGACTATCTCCACTAAGCACCACATGAAATGTCCATATTTTTACACAAAATTGGTCATAAAAGATTTTTGTAATCTATGACTATACCACAAATGGAAAAGGATAATCAACTTTACTTAAATAATATTTTCAAGTTATAAACACATTTTATTAAGTATATCAAACTGCCATTTTAATTTATAATTGAATTTGTAGAAAAGTATTGACATTTTATAATTCATATCATTTATTTGATCTTCTTTTTTTCCCTTTAGGTTTTCTATACTGGAATTGTTATTTATGCCCCTGCCCTGGCTTTGAATCAAGGTACATTTTAGAGTTAAACAAATTATGTTACATTTAGGGTTCATTTTTAATACACTTTATTTCCTTGGGAGATGGAGGAATGCTTCCAGTAACCTGCACCAGCTTGAGGGGGGAAAATGGGTTCAGTGTCTACACTAGCAGTTTCCTTGGGTTCCTGAATCCATAGCTCTGAAAGTTTTGTTCATTTTTAGGGTAGATCTCACTAAGCAAATGAGTCCCTGAGACATGTCATTCTCCATTCCTTCAGAATGAGCGCCCCCTATAGTCTAAATCGTGAATGACTGCACTTCTCTTTTGTGGTTACAACCTGGAACCCATCTACAAGATGCTTTTTTCTGTTTGGCTCAGTTGCTTTGTAAAATGTCAGGCAGAGAAGCTGTTCTTTTCCTCACTTATAATGTGGTCCGAAAAGCAAAATAAATAGATCTGTGTGATTTGAATATTAGACTACTACTACTGACAAAAAAAACAAACAAACCCACAGATGGCTATAGGGTTCTTATAAACAAATGTAGGAAGGTTGCACTCATCAACACATTACTGTTCTCTCTAGTTTAGGCAGATAATACCTGTGAAACTGGGACAGCTTATCGAGGCAAAGGTTCATGTTAGTCATATTCTCAATGGACTTCAGCGAAACTCTACATGCTTTGAATTCTTATCACTAAGAAGGGAATTTACCTCTAAGACTTCCTTGTGATATTGACAAATGGACTCTGTGATGGGAGGAATATGGTGCAATCCCTGGAGTTAATATAAAATGAAAAAAACCTTGCTAACTCCACACTTTAATTTTTTTTTCATTTCATGATAGATAAATAGATAGTACTTATCATCCCATTTTATAAAGTACAACGGCATCATCACAAACAACTCTATTATGTAATGAACGCTTCATTTCACATGTAAAAATCTGAGCTATAAACTTCGTAAGTTGCCTATTGGCTTTAAGTGTTAGTGAAGATTTTTGGCTTTAGGGTTTCAAAGTGCAGTTTTCACATACAGTTCTGGGAAAAAGAGAGCAGTACCTTCACCAAGCACTCTGCTCTTACCAATTTATCGAGCAACTCTTTTGGAATAAATGAGAACCCAAGGGACTGCATGTTGACACTTGAGTATCAGTTGTGTATTTCACAGTGACCAAGGCAGTGGTCACAAGCACAGACATATTACTTACCACGTCACAAGTGCTCAGTAGAAACTTGTTTCACCGAATTGAAACTTCGTCATATTTAAAACATTAACATTAATATCTCATTTTTGTCCAGCAGGAGCCTCATTAAATTGTCTCCTGAATCCAAGTAGTGTTTAATAGCTACCTTACTTTCTGGGAGAGCAAGATGTTTCGGTCTTACCTTACTTCTTGGCCCTGCCTGGGCATCAGCTATTCTTCCCAAGGAGAAATTGTATTTAGAGACCACAACCTAACTATCAGAGGTATTCATCGCTACTGAGTTGGTCATTTATTCTAGGTCTTGTTAGTGGACACAATTGGGAGATGTATATTAAAGAAAAAAGTAGATGAAGAATTTATACTGATATCCTCAATGTTTAAATTCAAACTTGGGATTACAGGGTGTTTGCCTAACTAATTTGGTTTTATATTTTGTCTTGTATTTTATGCTGAAACTCTTGTTGTTTAAAAAAGTAATATTAATTAGACTATTTATTTTCTTTATGCAAGTATGTAGATGTATATTGTGTTCTCAGGCTTGGCTGCATGTTGGATCCACCTGGGGAACTTTATAAAACTACTGATGCCTAGTTTCCACTCCTTGCAATACTGAATTAGTCAGCAGAGTCACTGAGATTTTTAAAATCTTCTCTGGTGATTTTAATGTACAAAGTTGAAAACCACTAATGTAATAGCTTTCGATTAGCAATTTCAACATTTTTACCAATAACATGTAGCCAAAAACAGTTAAAATTTATTACCCTGAAGTTTTTTCCCTAGTGTGTATCCCAGTGGAGATATATATAAAATTACTGTGTATTAAAGTTTTGGGGAATATTTAATTTCTCTGTGGTTATATCACAAAATTGATATATACCTACATTCATTTATTTCATTTTGCTTTCAATTTTTAGGAGTTTTTAAATTGAATTTTTGTGATTATGTAGAACATTTACATGATTTCAAAGTCCAGTCTACAAGATCAAATATGTTTAGAGAAGCCTAATTTACATTATGGTCTCTCCTACCCTGTTCCCCCTCCCCACGGGTAATTTTATACCTGTTTTTTAAAATTTATCCTTCCTTTATAAACAAGTATTTATACTTTTTTAAAGATAATTTTTAGAGCCATTTTAGGTTTCAACAAAATTGAGAGGATGGTGCAGAGATTTTCAATATACTTTCTGCCCCCACACATGCATCGCTTCCTCCAGGACCAATGTCACCCACCAGGGTGGTGCACTTGTTATCCAGAATGAATCTACACTGACATGCCGTAACCGCTCAAAGTCCACATTTACCTTAGAGTTCAGTCTTGGTCTATAGCTTCTGTGGGTTTGGACAAAGGTGTGATGACATGTATTTGTCATCGTAATATCATACCGACTATTTTTACTGCCCTAGAAGTTCTCTGTGCTCTGGCTGTTCAGCAAGAACTCCCACCACCCCCTTCAGCAAGCACTATTTTTTCTATAGTGTTACCTTTTTCAGAAAGCATATAGCTGGAATCATGCAGTATGCAGTCTTTTCAGATTGGCTTCTATTATGCATTTAAGGTTCCTGCCTGTTGCCCTGGCTGGGTAGCTCAGTTGGTTAGAGCATCACCTGATGCACCAAGGCTGCAGGTTTGATCTCCAATCGGGGCACATATAAGAAGCAACCAATGAATGTACAAATAAGTGGCACAAGAAGTTGATGTCTGTCTGCCTGACTGTCTGTCTCTGTCTCTCTCCCCCTCCCTCTTCTCCCTCTCCTTCTCTCACAACTAAAAAAAGAAAAAAGGTTCCTGCATGTTGTTTTGTGGCTTAATAGCTTATTTCTTTTTAGTGTTGAATAATATTCCATCGTCTGGATGTTCTACAATTTATTTGTCCATTGCCCTCCTTAAGAACATCTCAATTGTTTTCAAGTAGTGGCTGTTCTGAACAAAGCTGCTACAAACATACACGTGTAGGTTTTTGTGTGGGCATAGTTTTCAACCCTTTTGGGTAAATACCAAGGAGCATGATTGCTGGATTGTATAGCAACAGTGTAGTTTTATAAGAAACTCATAAACTGTCTTTAAAAATGGCTATTACTATTTACATTTTCACCAGCAACATGTGAAAGAATTCTGTTGCTCCACATCCTGATTAGCACTTGGTGTTGTCGGTGTTCCAGATTTTGACCATTCTTTTAGGTGTGTACTGGTATCTTGTTCTTTTAGTTTGCATTTCCCTGATCACACATGATGTGGAGGATATTTTCCATTCTTTGGTGAGGTGTTTGTTAAAATCTTTGGCCTATTTTTGAATTGGGTTGTGTTCTTAACATTTAAGAGATTTAAGACTTTTAAGAGATTTGTTTTGGTATATTTTTGATAACAGTCCTTTATCAATTTTTTTTTTCAAAATTTTCTCCCAGTCTGGATCTTGTGTTCTGATTCTCTTGATACTATCTTTTTTAGAGCAACTATTTTTAATTTTAATGAAGTCTAACTGATCAACTATTTAATTCACAGATTTTGTCTTTGGTATTGTATTTATAAAGGCATCACCATATCCTAGGTATCTTATTCTTCTCCTTTGTTATACTCTAGGAGCTTAATAGTTTTGCATTTAGGTCTATGGGCCATCTTGATTTAATTTTGGTGAAGGGTGTAAGTTCTATATCTGGAGTCATGTTACTTTGCCTGTGATGTTCAACTGTTCCTCACCATTTATTGATGAAGCTGTCTTTACCCCATGGTGCTGCCTTTGCTACTCTGCTGAAGGTCAGTTGACTATATTTATGAGGTTTATTTCTGAGCTCTCTGTTCTTTTCCACTGGTCTACTTGTCTATTCTTTTGCCAATACCACACTGTCCTGATTACTGTAGCTTTATAGGAAATCCTCAGGGGGAGTCACTTCTCCAACTTTCTTCTGCTCCTTCAGTATTGTGTTGGCTATTCAGAGTCTTTTGCCTCCCCACATAAACTATGAAATCAGTTTGTTGATTCTACACAGTTTGTAGTTATAAACAAAATAACTTGCTGGTATTTTGATTTGGATTGCATTGAATTTATAGATTAAATTGGGAAGAACTGACATCCTAACAATATTCAGGCTTTTTGTCTATAAACATGGAATATTTTTCCATTTATTTGGTTCTTTCATTTTAGTCATCAGAATTTTGTAGTTTTCCTCATATAGATATTGTATACATTTTGTTAGATTTTTAGCTAAGTATTTTATTTTATTTAAGTATTTTAAATATTTTATTTTGCTAATATAAATAAATGGTAATATGTTATTTTCAGAGTTTAAAAACAATTTTAATGAAATATTAACTTCATATAAAAATTCATAAATTTCAGTCTTTGAAAATTACAATTCAGCTTAAAGGTACAAAAAGGGAGCCAAGAAGAAAGTGGTTGATCCATTTTCTAAGAAAGATTGGTATGGTGTGAAAGCATCAACAAAATTCCACTTATTTATTGTTGGTATACAGGAAAGCAGTTGACTTCTGTATATTGACCCATGTAATAATTCCTTATTAGGAATTAGTTTCAGGAGATGTTTTATTGATTCTTTCAGATTTTCTATTTAGATGATCATGTCATCTGTGAACAAAGAAAGTTTTCTTTCTTTCTTCCCAATCTGTGTATCTTTCTTTTTCTTGCTTTATTGTATGGGCAAGGACTTTCAGTATGACATTGAAACATAGTGTTGAGAGGACATGTCTTTGCCTTGTGCCCAATCTTAGTGGGAAGGCTTCCATTTTCTCACCATTAAGTATGATGTTAGCTGTAGGTGTTTGTAAATAGTCTTTATCAAGTTGAGGAATTTACCCTCTACTTCTTGTTTACTGAGAATTTTCATCATGAATGGGTGTTGGATTTTGTCAAATGCTTCTTCTGCATCTATTAATATGATAATGTAATATTTCTTTTTTCTTTCTTAGCCTATTGATGTAATCAATTTCATTATTTGATTTTCAGATATTGAACCAGCCTTGCATATGTGGGATAAATCCCACTTGGTCATGGCATATAATTCTTTGTACACTTTTATGATTTGATTTGCTAATACTTTGTTGAGGACTTTTGAATCTTTGTTCATAAGAGTATTGGTCTGTAGTTTTCTTGTAATGCCTTTTTCTGGTTTTGATATTAGGGTAATGCTGTCCTCATAGAATGAGTTGGGAAGTTATTTCCTCTGCTTCTCTCCTCTGAAAGACATTGTAGAGAGTTGGTATAATTTTTTTCTTAAATGTTTGCTAGGATTCACCAGGGAACCCATCTGGGCTGAAGCTTCCTGTTTTGGAAGATTGTTAATTCAATTTCTTTAACAGATGTAGGTCTACGCAGATCGCCTATTTCTTCTTGTGTGAATTGTGGCAAATTATGTATTTCAAGGAATTGGTTTACTATCAAATTTGTGACCATAGTCATTCTTCTATTTTATAAAATGTAACATGCCCTCCACTACTTAGATAGATGTCAGCAGTTTATACCGACTTCTCTCTCTCGGTCCCATTTTAGTAAGGTGCACAACTTGTCCATCAGGGACTGGGAGGATAGTGTGTTTATTGGAACCATGAAGACAAATACCCTCAGTCTCCATTCAGTGTGGATAGCTACCTCATAGTATTAAGCAGTTTCTTAGCTTAATTACAATGTAAATATTTTTTCATGTATTTAATTTAGCCAATTTTGGATTTGTGTATGGTGCCTGAGGGTAGATAACAGGTCTACTTAGCTCATCAGATAGAATTTTAAAGTCCAGTTGTTTTAGTACATCTTATGAGACTTGGGTCTAGTTTTAGGCAAGTGGGTATAGAGGTAAGTACCCAATAAAGGATATAGCTTCCCCCTGAAGACCTTTTTGAGAAATGCTTTTTATTATGCATGTTTCATAGTTACATATGCGTTTTCTTTTCTTCCACAGTCACAGGATTTGATCTGTGGGGCGCAGTGGTGGCCACAGGGGTGGTCTGCACGTTCTACTGTACACTGGTATGTCCACAACATTCCTCCTCACTTCGCCCTGCACACTTGCTTTGCAAAATTGAAAATTCTGGTAGTTGCATGCTCCAGTCTGGGTTGTTCATGCCTACTCTCCTATCTCCCACTGTATAATTTTTTGTAAGGAATATTCAACCTGGGGTAAATTTTGATCCTTTGTAGAACATTAACCATAACTGAAAATGTTTTCTTTCATCTGAATCATGCAATGGTCCCTAATCTTGTCTCCTAATTCATCCTTACTGTTGCCAAGTTATTATATAGCTGTGCATATATTATTCCTCAGGTCAGAAACCTGAGATAACTTCTCATCACCTTTAGGGACAGGCAAAATATTTAAGGACCAGTGTGGCTTGGGCACTGATACTCCCAGTGGATCCTTAGCAGTGGTGCAAGTCTTATAGGATCTCTGATAGTCCGGGTTTTAACCCTTTAATTGCTGGATCTTTACAGGGGTGTCAAACTCCTTTTCACTAGGGGCCACATCAGCCTCGAGGTTGCCTTCAAAGGGCCAAATGTAAGTTTAGGACTGTATAAATGTAACTTGGAGCTCAGTTAAGCAAGAGCTCCAAGGTGCCGGGCCAGATAAAACAAGGTAAAGGGCCGGATTTGGGCTGGATTTGGCCCGTGAGCCTTGTGTTTACCACCTGTGTTTTAGGAGACAGGCTTTCAAGGAGGGGCAGTGCCATTCAAAGTCAAAGGGACTGGAGGGGGACACTTAGGACCTTTGTGGCAGTGGCTAAGACAAAACTATTTTAGTATTTCAACAATTGGTATGACCATCTGTGCCTGCAGTTTGAAGACCATCCCTGCCTATAGGATAAAATCTATGATATCGCTGTTTACCACTTTACTCTGAGTTTTTTGCCCAACAGTCTCTCCATGCCACTCCACTCTATTCCAATTTATACTTTGACCTATCTATGCTTTTGCCCATGTTTTCTCTGCCATAAGGATCTTCCATCTCTGCCTCTCGTTTGTGTGAAGATTTGGCTTAAATATCACCTTTTCTTGAAGGCTTTCCCAACCTGTCTCCTCTGAGTGCACTTCTTGGCCAAAATCCATGTATTCAATAAAGTTGTACAGCTTAATGGGTAAGCACGTAGGTGCTTCATAATGTCTGATAGAACATTAACCCTAATACACTTTTCCCTCAAAGGGTGGTCTTAAGGCCGTTATCTGGACGGATGTTTTCCAAGTCGGGATCATGCTGGCTGGGTTTCTGTGTGTAATCATACAAGCCGCAGTGGTTCAAGGTGGAATCAGCAATATCGTAAATGATGCCTATAATGGTGGAAGATTAAACTTCTGGAAGTAAGTTGCTATTTACATCTTGATTAGTAGAATATTTTTTTTCTGTAAAAATCTCTGTATTGAAATAGTAAGTTTGCATTAGAAAACACACACACACACACACACACACACACACACACACACCCCACTAAGGATGTGATACAGAAATTTGAAGCTGGCATGTCAGTGTGGAAGGACTTGTTGCTAGGTCTCTAAAGGGTTAAGACAGTCAGGTGTACTTAGTTCCGTGACACTTAGGATGGGGCTCCCTCCTGAGAAGGGACTGATAGTAAAAGAGTATTTTCTTTCAGACAGTAAAGTCTGGGTTAGGTCGAAGAGGTGGGTAGGGTGATAAAGGAGGAGATAGTGGAGAAATAAGGAAAGAAACCTTTTAAGAGAAAAACACTAAAAGACAGTGATTCCATTTTGACAGTTCCCTGTTTCAAGTAGCCTGGATAATTTTTAAAAATATTTATGTTCCCATGGCAACATATAGTATATTATTATGCCATATTTTTATATTATTATGCCAGATATATGATATGTAAATATAAGTATATAATCTGCATTATATACTATTATATGTTATTTCAAAAGAATTGACTAGAAAAGGAAAGGCCAGTACCTCCAGTGTCAGCATGGCACCTGAAATAAGGTGTTAAACAGCTGTTCAGTTTTCCCAGAGAGACTAATGGAGAAACTAGATATTTCACCACAAATACATCATCCAATTTAAAAGGATGTTTAAAACGCCTTTCCTTTTGTGTCATCAGTGTCATTCTTGTACATCATGTTCCATGTGGAGAAGGGCTCATTTTACATGAGAACACATAAAGGAGAACAGCTAATTCTCCTTTTTCAAAAAAGATTTTATGTATTTATTTTTAGAGAGAGGGGAAGGCAAGGAGAAAGAGAGGGAGAGAAACATCAATGTGTGGTTGCTTCTTGCACACCATCCACTTGGCTCTCCATCCACTGAGCCACACCAGCCAGGGCAGCTTATTGTCTCTTTATGCAGCTCCGTTTTGAGACAGGCATGCTGACATCATTTCAAGAGGAAAAATATTGTTTTGCTTTGGTGGCTCTCTTCTGGATGTCTGAAGATAGGCACTAATGTTTGAGAAAAGCTTTTTCATAAATTGAACAGGGTCATTGTGTTAAGTTGCAGGGATGTGCTACAGAGAATCAACTGTTTCCAATATTTCTTTCTCCTTCTATCTCAAGAGTCAAGTTCAAGGAAGAGAGCCTCCCATTGGCCAGGCTTGGCCATGACTGCATCACTTAGCTAGGGCAGAGCAGGACACTTTGATTGACAGCCATTTAGACTATTTATTGGAGAAGTGGCAGTTTCCCCAGAGCAAACCTGGGTTGCTGATACCAGAAGGGAGGCATGGATACAAGAAGCAGTGGCCACTCAGGAGACCTTGAGTGCTCCTGCGTCTCTTCCTACTAGGCTATATGTTGAGGGGAGAGGATGTGAAGCCAATCATTTTCCTGCAAGACAATGGTCACTTTATAACAAGGATAAACCCATTGCCACAATGAACTGATAACTTATAACTCAAGATGAGATTCTAAAAAGTAAAAGATTAGTCATTTATATGAGTTTACTTTGAAGGTTGCCAACCAGTTAAATATTAATGAAATACCTTATTAACTTTTTCTCGTTATGCAGCTTTGTTTTAAGAATATTGTAGGCAAGAGATCTGCTCTGGTTGAAGAGAAGGATTTGTGTCTTAGTATTTTCTGTACAGTCTGTAGTTGGTACATGTCTTCCATGTGGCCTAAAATCTCTGAGCTGGGTGTTCTGAAGCTTCTATGGCCTCACAGAGCTCATTGAATGCGTTTGGCTTTTGGCTTCCATTAGCTAATATAGCAGCTTCTTTCTCTGTGGGAGGAAAGGTCAACACTCTTGAAGCTCTTAGACGTTGATGTGAAATGTTAGAATATGGAACAAAGGTTCTCATCTTTTCATTGGCATGCCAGAAGATGCACAAAATTGGAACATTTTACTCAACTGATTTGAAACAAATTTCCAGAATTTTATAACGTTCAGAAAGTTTCCCTGAAAGTTAATATTGCATACATTTTTCAAGCTCCTATTATGTATCAGAAATGAAGAGAATCATTCCTCCCAAGGTAATACATTAAGAAGGGTTAAAGGATGTAGTAAATGTGGAAGTTGAGCTTTTTTTGTAACAATATTTGGTACAGGTCATAAAGTGACTTTCAACTTTTAGTATTTAGCTTGTGCGCACAGCATTTTGAGAAAGCACAGTTGTTGTGGCATGGCAGTTTTAGAACATGAACACTTTTATACTATTAATTGACTGAATTCCTAAGCTTAAATATAAACTAGAACTATATACATGTACTAGGATGGGATTTCCCCAAACCCATCCAGAATTCCCAATTCTCTGAAAGTGTCAATTTTATTTCATTGAACTTAAATTAGGAATATTTCTACATTTTACAATTACTTAATAAATTTGTATGTATGTATGTATGTATATATATTTATGTAAGTGTACATTGCTTACTTTCAAAAATAGTCTGGAGGGGATTTCTGTATTTTTTCCCAGTAGTTCTGATTTGTTTTCTCTTTGTTTCCATTTAGTTTCGACCCCAACCCTTTGCAAAGACACACGTTCTGGACAATCATTATAGGAGGGACCTTCACATGGACCAGCCTGTATGGTGTCAACCAGTCCCAAGTGCAGAGATACATTTCCTGCAAAAGTAGATTCCAGGCAAAACTGTAAGCCAAATTATGGCATGTGTATCATTAATAACAATTAATTGACTTTATGGAAACTCTTTTATAAGTCAGACTTAAGTTTGCGTTTTGAATGATGAAATTCCAGCAGATACATGATATACTTATGAAAGGATGAATTAGAACGAAGTGGTACTCTATGTTTCAAAGAAGATATTTAAACACATTTACATGAATTATTAAGGAAAACAAATCTTATCAAATAAATAGGTATTTATTGTACATCTGTACAAGGAGGTATGGGGAAAACTATAAATATATGGCTCTTGTCATTAAGTAACTTAGCAGCAACTTAGGAAAATATATTCAAGTATGTACAAAGTGAAATAACACTAGAGAGGTACAAGGGTTTCGTGAAACACTATAACAACAGAGGAGGTGATCCAGAGCATAATGTTGCCAGAGGTGCTGGTGTATTTTATTTTCAAACAGTCACAGGTGTATAACTCTGCTCTAATACTTGCTAGCTGAGTGATCTTGGGCAAGTTATATAGTCTCTCCGAACTTCAGTTTCTAAACTTGTAAAATGAGCATGAGAAACATCATACACCCCATGGAAGGTGCTGTAAAATACTATGTTCTATATGCCGATGGTAAGTGTCCAGTAAATGTGAACTCTTTTCCACCTCAGATCACGGGATGTGAATCCCGATTGAGACATTCCTATCAGCCAGGCAGATCCTAAAGAATGATCACATGCGGGCCGGGAAAGAGTAAGAGAGCCTTGCAGGCAAGCAGAGTAATTTGGACAAAGCACAGAGATCAGGAGGACAACATCGCCAGAGAACTCTCAAGCCCATTGGCTTGAGGAAGGAGTATGATCAGTGGCCAGTTCTTCCTCAGGAGACCTCAGATAAGCATGGTGACCACCACTTCCCATGTTGGCAGATGAGGCTGGCTTAGCCCACAGGTACTTAGGGGCTTAAAAATTCTAAATAGATTAAGAATAACAGGGTAATTGGAATAGGAGAAGGAGTGGCAATTTTATTTCTGTTCTAAGGAGAACATGAAAATATTGGGATGTCACATGCCAGAACTCAATATATTGAGAGTACATTGGTTCAGACAGTGTCTTTGGAAAAATCCCCCAGTAAAAAACCTATATGAATATGAGTACAACACCTGGACAGGCAGTCCCCCAAAATCGAACTTAAGAGTTGTAGTATTTTAAGGAACTTTGAAGGAATGTCATTAATATATCTAGTAATCTACCCGACTTTAAATCTATACTAGGACTGATGCCTTAGCCGAAGTATTAATTGTGCACGTGTTCTTCTATTTTGTTGGAAACACAAAGTTCAAAAAGCCCACTTTTATAGCTAAAAGAACAGCATTAGAGCTTTCTTAGAAAGAAACAATTTCCTTCAGAATAGCCCAATGGGCCTCCTTAAAAAGGCAGACTGCCTGCGCTCAGGGGGACCATTTTCATAGGCTTTCTAACACTGGCCCCGTGGGAAGAACGAATCCCAGCCCCAAATCAGACTTACTGACCTTGACTGACCGCGGAGAACATCAGACACTGATAAGTGATCTATCTGAATAGCATTCAAGTCCAATAAAACCACACGGTTAAATATTAAACTCATATATAGGCAAGAGGAGTTTCTGAGCAGGAAAGGGTCTGGGTATATTTTCTGATGATTTGGAGATGAGGTATAGTTACTCTTTCTATTTTTAGACAATAACAAAATACAATAAATTTAGCCAATCAAGAAAAACAGCTAGCAGTCTGTTGTGTGGCCCCTGTCGTCAGGTCCGTCCCCCGGGCAGCAGACACTGAGGTGGAAGTTGGCATGCCAGAATCTTCCAGGGAAGCGAGGGCAGGGAGGAGGGCAGGAAAGCCAGAGGGAGACGTTGGACCTCAGTGCAGTCTCAACAGAGGCTTAAAGCTCCGATGACTCTTCAGGCTTGTCCCAAGTGAGGGTGAGGAGAGTGAGCTTTTCTTCAGTCTCTGAATCCAGTGCTCCTCAGACACCCCAGAGAAGGAGCCACGACTGCTGGGGCGGTACCTCTGTTCATCCCAGGGCTGCCCATTGCAGTGTCTGCCATAGCACCGCTGGAGAAAACGTAGTGAGAGAAACGTTGACTATTCGACTGATTATCGGGACATGGCATTCAATGGCATCAATACTAGTAATATCAATAACTACTACTTAACAAGTGTTGATTACTGGCCAAGCTCTGTATCATATAATATATACTCTTTCATTTCATCTTATAACTCTGTGAGGTAGACATTGTGATTATGTGCAAGTGAAGAAACTGAGGGTCAGACGGGCTAAATTATTTGCGCAGGGTCACATGTGGTAGGTGGAGACATGTTTTAGGTTCAGGCCTGGCTCCAGCACTGTTCTGTAAACCTTCGGACTCTCCTGGGGCACACACTGTGCGGGGGAGGGAGGGTAGGGGGTGGAGCGATTGAGCAAAAAGGAGAAATGACTGACGGACATGGACAGCAGTGTGCTGATTGCAGGGGGTGGGGTATAAGGGGACTTCAGGGTAATGGAAAAAATGCAATAAAGATTATATTAAAAAAATAAAAAATAATGCTGAACATTGTTTGGGAAGATACCATCCAAGGAATACAGGTTTGCCTTTCACACTAATGGATGGTATTATAAACCACATTCAAACACATTTGATGAGTTCTATGTAGATGCTAAGTATATTTAGCAGTTTATAATTGTACTACTTTAAAGGGAAAATGAGCAATAGTTGCTGCTCTGTTGACTATTAAAAAGCTTTACTTCATGACAAGAAGCCCTGAAGTAGCATAATTAGATACCATCATAAAGGTAATAATGCCCATGGAGCTCTGGGAAAACCTCACCTGTTCTAAGGATTTCCCAACATGTTCATTGACGTCATAAGCAGAAGGCTAGGCCAGGATAAAATAAGTAGCATTTTTGATAAACAGAAGATAACACACACGTATTGAATACAGTCATGAAAGTTTCTCCTGCTTATGTAACCAGTTTCCTCTTTGGCATGGAAAGTACAGCTGTCATTTGCTGGTTTGTTTTTGCTTCTTCAGGTCTCTCTACATCAATCTGCTGGGACTCTGGGTCATCCTCGTCTGTGCGGTGCTCTGCGGGCTCGCCCTCTATTCCAGGTACCAAGACTGCGATCCCTGGACAAACAAGGAAGTGTCTGCGCCAGACCAGGTTTGGGACCGTGTCTGTCTTACACGTGCATTAAGAACATTCAGAAAGCTTAACTGTTGGAAAGAAAAACCATTCATGTTCTTGTAGATAAACAGTAAATAGGCATAATATGATCATATTTAATTTCTATAAAGCATTTGGCAAAATATGACTTCAGCAGATATAGCAAGGATAAAGAAGGCTGTATCCAAGATTAAACTATTGAAATACCTGAGAAAACTTCAAGCCAAGTATTAAATAGAAACAGTTTAAGGTTGCGAGTAGTAATGTAAACACATTTTTAAAAAGCCAAAACTATACACAAACCATGTTACCAAAGAACATTTTGTGGTATTATTAGCTCTCCTGTTTATAAATAGTTTACTTTCCAGTTTTTATTGTTCAGAATATAATTGGTATACAATATTCTATTAGTTGCATTGGTTCCAGGTGTACAATACAGTGATTTGACATTTTCATGCCGTACAGCATGGTCACCCCATGGAGTCTAGTGATCAGCTGTCACTGTGCAAACTTATCACAGCGTTGTGGACCTGTCAGTTTTTAAGTGACAGAGAGATGGATCTAGTCAGTGAACACTACTGAATACCAACTACATGATAAGATCCTATGCAAAGAGCTTTGCATGCATTATCTTGTTCTCACAGCCTTGTAATTCTAGTTTTATAGATAAGGGGATGAATGAGTCTCAGAGAAGTCATATAAATTGCCCAAGGTCACATAGCTAATTAATGAGAAGAGCTGCACACACTCATCAAATACGCACCACTGGTCAGGCACTATCATAAGTGCTTTGTATAAACTTCAACTTTTAATTCTCACAGCCATAGTCTAAGGTAGGTTCTGTGATTATCTCCCATTTAAAGATGAGGAAACTGAGGCACAGAGAAGTTAAATTACCAGCTAGTAAAGCTGGACCCAGGATTCCAGCCCAGGCAGGCTGCACCCAGAGGCCTAACTGAACGAACCTCTGTGCCATAGACTGTCTTTCAGAAAGTGTAACTAGAATTTAAACCCAGGACTACCAGAGTATAAAGCCCGAGTTCTCATTCTCTTAGTTCTTGCCATAATTATGTCCTAAGACTCGCTTATAAATCGAGTGCTCAGAGGACTCATTAGATTTAAAGACAGGCTGAATTTCATGTTGGTGCAAATGCATCACATGTTTCCAGAAAAATACCGTCTTTGTGGGATTAGAAAACGAGAGCATCCTTGAGCTGTGTGTCTCAACCCTGTCTCCACACACGCTGTCCTTGTGGCAAACAGACCCTTCCTATTCGCCCAGACAACCCGAGAGTCATGTTTACTCTGAAGATGGAAGCCCTCTTCCAATGTATCCCCTCTAGTCAAGAATGTTTGTGAGTTTTTGTCAATCCTTATTGTCTGTAGTTTGTATCATGAAGACAATGGGGATTTTGAGAAAATTCATATACCTTCCCCTTCCCCTGGGGAAAAACAACCACTCTAACTTCCTCACCTTGAGGCTCCTTGTCATAAAAGCGTTCAAGGGTCTCACATGCACACACCAATCACTCAGATAGTGTGTGCTGTTTGAAAAAGAAAGAGGTCTTCTCCTTATAGAATGTTTCCAGTACTGTATTCTTAATTCAACTAATATCACACTGGGGATACAATACAAATAAGGCACAGTCAGAGGAAGGTGAGGTCAAAATCTTAACTGAGGAATGCAAAGATACATTGCTGCCCCATTCTGCAGGAGCTCATCCTAGGAAGCAGGATTAGTACCTACATATAGTTTTACTAATTTTCTCTCATCAATCTGACCCCTTTCATTCTGTCTATACCTGAGCGGGCTGTTCAGAATACGAAATGTCACACCACAGAATTTGAGAAAGTTGATGACAAGGTAGAAAATTTTAGTTCTTGTTGTAACACTAACAGTAAACACTTTCCTTTTGCTTATGTGTAGAATATTGCTTGAAGTTAGACTTTTAAACTATCTTACAAATATTGGGCCTTAATCTCATAGAGAGAGAAGTGCTAGTCTCATTATCTGTGAATAAAGAGTTAGTAAATTTTGGAGAACGTGGAGGAAGCATTGCTGAAGCAATTCAACGCAGACCCTTGAAACAATGAAAGATGCTCTTCCATCTCCCACCAACAAACCTTTGTTAAGTGAAATCCAATAGTCTGATAAGGTAGGGACTGGCATTCACCCTGTAGTATGGGAGGAGGAATTAATAATGTTTCAATGCAAGTTAGCAAACATGTTTCTTCTGGAAAATTATCTACTCAGGCCCCTTTTGATTCAGAAATCCATTTTGCTTTAAGACTACCATGTAGCATAGTGATGAAACGTCCCTACTTTATACCTCTTATACCTCCCTACCTTATTGAATCTTTATTTTTAAAGTAATTTATTAAAAAAGCAAGTTGGTATCAGGAAGTTTTTAAAAAGCAGCAAGTGTCAGGACTTTGCTGACATTGCTTTCCACTTGTCACTGTCTCATGCAGTTGTAATGATACTTTCAGTCCTGGGCAGTGCTGCAAGTTCACAAGGGCAGCCTTGAGTCACCCAGTAAAGTTAAGTTAAGTAAACGCTGCTTTGCGCAGAGGTGTGTAAAATATTTCTTTTAAATTGATCTATTACTTCAAAGAATGAGAATAGCTACCTTTTATAAAGCATTTACTGTATTCCATAGACTATACTAGCAGCTTTATAGAGATTATCTAATTTATCTTTTGTAGCAATTCTATGAGGTTAGTATTATCACCCTTATTTTACAGATGAGGAAACTGAGGATCAGAAGAATTAAGTAAAAAAAGCCACATCTGTCTGAATCTCGAGACTGTGGGCTTAAGTACCATGCTATTCTTTTCTTTAGGTTTTAGCAGTTAAACAGCTTAATTTGGGGTATTTAGAAATTTCAGTTATACAGAATAGCTACTTTTGGTTCTTGAAAAACACAAGATAAATGAAGTATTCATTAATTTTACGTGGTAGCAAATAGTACTCAGGAGTAAATTTTGGGATTTTTCAGCTCATGCCATATTTGGTACTGGACATCCTGCAAGATTATCCAGGACTTCCTGGGCTTTTTGTGGCCTGTGCTTACAGTGGAACGTTAAGGTATGTACTTCAACTCGAATAATACCCCATTGGGTTATTATTAACCCAATAATGTTAATAACCCAGTGGGAAACCCAATTGGTTTCCCCATTGATAGCTTCCTTTTTTATTGGATATCAGTGGGGATAAAGCTGAATTCTGGACATGGGCACAAATGACTCACTGGAGGCAGTCTACTGCAGTGTCTGCTGTTGGTTTGATTCTTACCTCTATGGGTCAGCACTCTGTCACCAGTCTGTACTTTCTACTTGGTCCCATCTACCTAATACACCATCACATGCCCTGTGGAGTCGCAGTAATGGTGATCAATGATGGTAGCTGTCAAAAATGGGTGCCTACAGTCTCAGTTTAAAACATACATGTGGCTATGCCCTGGTTGGTGTGGCTCAGTGGATTGAGTTCAGGCCTGTGAACCAAAGGGTCTCCGGTTCCATTCCCAGTTGGGGCACATGCCTGGGTTTTGGGCCAGGTCCCCAGTAGGGGGTGCATAAAAGGCAACCACACATTGATGTTTCTCTCCCTCTCTTTCTCCTTCCCTTCCCCTCTCTCTAAAAACAAATAAAATCTTTTAAAAATTAAAAAATGTATACATGTGGATAAAATGTGGTCAAATGGAAAATTAGAGTTAAAATTTCTGCCCTGACTGGCCTAGCTCAGCGGATTGAGCATGGGCTGCGAACCAGGCATCGCAGGTTCGATTCCCAGTCAGGGCACATGCCTAGGTTGCAGGCCATGGCCCCCAGCAACTGCACATTGATGTCTCTCTCTCTTTCTCTCTCCCTTCCCTCTCTAAAAATAAATAGATAAAATCTTAAAAAAATTAAAATTTCCTATTTACATGCTGAATAATATACACTGTGTTTGAACTTACTCATTGTACTTTGCTTGTGTTTGCTCCAGGGAATTCTTATCATTAACAAACTACAGCATATGTTAGTAAGAAATCAGGAAATTAATATTATTGATCTTTATGGCATATGTTAGTAAGACTTATGACAGTCCTCTGTGCGTAAAGAATAGTATATTTTGAAGTCACTATATAATGATACTGCATAATCTATGTAGATTCTTTCCATAAACACTGATGATTAATTGCAACATGGAAGCAACATTAAATTATCCATTTTCCCTAGTAAGCCTATAAATGTCACCTGAATCATTCTTAGATAACAGCTTCCAGGAAGAGGATGCTGTGATCATTAAAAATAATATGGTAGAAATCTGGTTATATTTCAGAAGTAACAATTTGTTTTCCCCTTTCTCATTCCTGCTTAAAGAATTATTATAGTTTACATATCATCAACCAAAAGTTTTATTTCCTGTTTTCCTTCACAGCACAGTGTCCTCTAGTATTAATGCCTTAGCAGCAGTAACTGTGGAAGATCTGATCAAACCACGCCTGAGATCAGTTTCAGAAAGATCTCTGTCTTGGATTTCCCAAGGAATGAGTAAGTTTCCATTTTCACAATTCACTTTGTAGCTCTGGGAGGTGGTTTTCAGAGATACTCTTTTCCATGAAAAATACAGAGTAGGGACTTCTGAGTGTAAATATACACGCATATGTATGCCTGTGACATATTTGCCATCATGACTTGGGAGACACATCAGTTAATTGGCAGGAACCACAAAGAACAATTTCTTAATCCAAGTCTGTTAAAATCTCAGCCACAGAAAAAAATATTCAACCCCTTTCCTTTTTGACTTTGACCAAAATTTTAAGAAGTATCCTAATTTAGAACCAGGAACCACACTTTTTCTATATTCCCTAAGAAGGAACCATCAGTTTAAGGTAACCGTCTGTGTATACGAACTGCAGATGAAGAAACAGGGCATCGTGACTTTTGACCTGGCTTGATTGCCTGTTTCATCTGTATACATACACCGTCCTGGAGACGGCCTGTAAAATTATGCAAGGAACGCTCAAATTCTATTCTTAGATTATAGGACCTAATTTCAGGTTAAATATCAGCTTGAATGGGAAGGTTTAAAGGCCTTTATTTCCCAAATGACCCAAATGTAACATCTGACTGATAGAAATCTGCCTAGCGCATTTCATTGGTCATTTCACCTTCTTGTGTGTATGTGTTTTAGAATGAATGACTAACATTTTTTAAAAAAAGAATCTTAAGATTCTAAAAGAACCTTAGCAAAATCATGTGAGCAAACTGTCAAAGAAATTATAAATAAAACCCAGTTTTGAGCCATAATTCTATATATAACTGCCATGGCTATAACCTGAAACAAGAGCTTAATTTGTATTCTTCACTGTACCTTTATTTTAATTTAAATAGTATTGCATCCTTTTATTGTATACCCAGTTTTAATCCTGGAGCATAATTTAAGAATGATACAATACTTCCTGAAGAATAAGACTGGCTTACTAAGGGGTTATTGAAACTGGATGGTTTAGTAGAATGAATAGAAGATTTGGAAGCCAGAAAAACCCCATCTTGCTTCATTAATTTACTTGCTATTAGCCTTGAGCAAACCCAATAACCCATTTGAGCCTCTGTTTCTTTACATGGGAAATATTTGCGTTACAGGGATACTGTAAGGTTTAGAGATAATGCATGTCAAATAAGAGGCAATAGCTGGTGATTAACAATGAGATTTGCATGAAATTATTATCTCAAGGCATTTACAGTAAGGACTTCATCAAGAAAAACATGGCAGATGATTTGACTGTTTTTGATGACTTTGAACACCAAAATCCATAGTGGTGGCCGTGCATGAGCTATCAAATGAAGAAGACTCAAGCTAATCCTATTAGGATCAGAGACATAAAAAAGTCATGCACTAAGAGCTCTTTGCAAAAAATGAATAAAAGTTTTTTCCATTTAGCTACAATGAAATTATTTACTGAATATACTTAACAAAGGTGTGAGGGTTAGTGCAAGTAAGAGGAATAACATAATATAAGGAATGCACCAATTTTATGATGAGCAAATTTCTTATTTATATTACTGTATTTTGAGTTGTACGTGTGGGAAATTATATTGAATAACTTCAGCTGATCTTTGCTGAATGGAAGTCTTTAAAAATAAAGATTTTTTTAAAAAAAATAAGTTTTCCTATAATTTAAATAGTAAAGTATGTACTTGGAGAAAATCTGGAAAATACTGAAATTTAAAAAAACCCCATAATCTGACCACCAGTGGAGGCTACAGAATTTCTATCAACAAGTTTTTGGAGAAATTTTTACAGAAGGGAGAATATGATACTTGTCTTGAAACTGCCTTTCTTTGCTAGCTTAACAGGAAAGGCTTGGGCCTGTTGGTGGAGATTATGAGAGGATTTAAGGTCCTAGACCACCCCTCTGTGTGGATTGCCAATTCCCAGAAGAAACGAACACTTAAAGTCAGAAGACTCTGATTTCCAATGTTTACTACTCCCTTCCCCTACCACATTGTACAGAGCAGTGTGGAACTGTGTCCTGTTTTTGGCCAACTGAAAACGGAGACCCGAGCCTTCTTTTATATTAAAGAAATATTGATGGAGGATTAGATTAATCATACAATAGTTCTTAGCTTTAAAAATCCCTATAGTTAATTCTAGGGATTCTTTACTTATATAACCTAATGTTGTAATTAATCCTTGGACACAATTTCAGGATTTTCTTTCCTTCACACACTGCTGATTCGGTAGGAAAACACCCTTTTCTTTTTTCAGCGGGCTCTGGTGTATGTGGCCATTCTTCACCGCAGTCATGCTACCCGCTTTGAATCAAAGGTGTGCTAGCTTATTCTATTGAGAAGTCTAATCCTCTGGGTCTACACTGCCTTTTACCTCGTCCATCTAGGTGTGCTGTTTGGAGTCCTGTGTATTGCGATGGCTGCTCTGGCATCACTAATGGGGGCTCTGTTGCAGGTAAGAGCTGACCCTCAAAGCTTTGAGTCATAATCACTTTTTATTTTTAATGCCGATGTGACCTTTCTTCCAGATGTCTCTTTTTATATATTTACCACATAAAGGAACTGAGGTGACTAAGTTATTTTAAAAATTTTTTAAATTAAACTTTCCATTTTGAGGTAATTGTAGATTTACACGCAATTGTAAAAAGTAATAGAGAGATCTCATATACATGCTTTACCCGCTTTCCTTCGATGGTCTGGTGACATCTTGCAAAACAGTAAGTGCAGCATCACGACCAGGCTGTGGACAATGATACAGTCAAGCGATGGAACCTTTCCATCTCCACAAGGGTCCCTCCTGTTGCCCTTTTGTAGCCACGCCCACTTCCCTCCTGCCCCTAGTTCCTCCTCCACCCCTGGCAACCACTAATGTATTTCCCATTTCTATAATCTCACCACACCAAGAATGTTATATGAAGGGAATCACATAGTATGTAACCTTTTGAGACTGGCTTCCACAGGAGTTATGAACGGACCCCTTGGCTCATACCACGAGTCCGCATCCTCCTCAGACACCACAAATACCCACACTCCTTCCCTAGTTCATAAGGTAGGCGTTTTCCCTGTGGACAAATTAATGTGCCCTCGACACTCCTTTTACGGTCCCATCCTCTCTCAAAAACTAGCTATCTGATTATTGGGAACACAGACCTCTTGGGAGTTTCAGCTGTTTGCATTTCTCCGTTCTTCACACTGTAAACTTCGAGGTCATGTCTTTGGCCTCTATACCTCAAAGCAAAGGTTGCCATTGGTCAGTTGGATTTTATATCTCTTTCCATGTGATTTGATACGTCTTTTTTAAAATCACATTTTTTGTTCTAGTTCCATACTTGGGGAACCAAGGATGTCATTGGGTTTCTTTGCCATCTGCAGTCCCTTAGCGGCACTTGTCTACACCCTTGTTTCCAGGGGGACTTTGAGAGAATGAAAGCACAGAGGAGTGATGTGATTGATCATCAAGGTCTGGGAGAACCAGGCTGGGAGGAGTGTTGTCACTCTTGACTTAGGCTTCATGTGGGTGCTCCCATTGTCCCCTGAGTCTCCACCTCCCTTACAGTTGGCTTCCCTTTTTTGAGGATGCATGAGGGAGCATGTGGATACTGGATGCTAAGACGCAGAAGTTTCCAAGTTCTGATGATCTCTCTTCCAATGACAAGGCTGCCATGCTTTGGGGGAGGATCCAAAGTGTTTTAAATCCTTATCCTGATGACATTTATTTGAAACATTTTTTTAAAGATTTTATTTATTTATTTTTAGAGAGGGAAGGGAGGGAGAGGGAGAGAGAGAGAGAGAGAGAGAGAGAGAGAGAGAAAGGCATCAATGTGCGGTTGCTGGGGGCTGTGGCCTGCAACCCAGGCATGTGCCCTGACTGGGAATTGAACCTGCGATGCTTTGGTTCATAGCCTGCGCTCAATCCACTGAGCTACGCCAGCCAGGGCTTAATTTGAAACATTTTAACTCTGGACTTGAAATTTCTAATTGCCGACTTTATCTTATTTCTGTAGGCAGCACTTAGCATAATCGGCATGATCGGTGGACCGCTTCTGGGCTTGTTTTCTTTGGGCATTTTGGTTCCCTTTGCCAACTCAACTGTAAGTATAAAGAATGAATAGGTGTAAAGCTTTCTTTCCAAAATGCAGTAGTGGCTTTACAATTTTTTCTTAGTTGTAAAGATGTGGTTCCTATGACATCCCTCAGCAGTGACTTGTCTCAGTGACTTAGACTACTCATACCAGCTCGGCTGGGGTGTACAGTGAAGTGCTGTGCACCAGGAGCCTGCATTTGTGGAGCCCAGTGTAAACAGCCAGAACAGTATAGTGCAACTTCACACATTCATAATATAAGTAAAGGGCAACATTTCTTGTGCATGTATCCTTTTGTTCTTCTTGAAAATTAACCATTAACAATTAAAGAAGGAGGTTGACAGGCTCAGATATGAGAACTTTAAGGGGAGCAGGGCTGAGGGTACCTGTGAATATCCAGAGTACAGCAAAAAGGGCAATAAGGTCTTCACCACCTCGACCACAGAGTTTCTACTTCTGATAGTTAAAGCTGCAGTAAACGTCAGGGCATCAAACATAAAGAACCCCAATTCTGCCTTCAGGGGTTCCCAGCCTAAGGAAACAGCTCACAGTCCTTGTCCGTAACGTGAATCCTCCAGTCTGGTCAGCAGCCCTCTCACTCTCCCATCGTGCCTTGGCTTATGTTTTCCCCCTTCCGTCAAATATTCTCCCCTGTCCGCTCTATGTGGAGCCTGAGGTACAGGCTGCCCTCTCTGATCGTTATTCTTAAAGGAAGGAGGGAAATTCCACCCCAGAGGAAGGGGCTTCCCAGCTCCGGGTTTGCCTTTATCCCCGTCATTTGGAACTAGGGCTTACATCATTCCAGAGGCCGCAAAACACCTGGATTACTGATAACAAGCAAGAGTGGGGGGCCCAAGTTTTCCACAGGCTGGGAAAACTGATGTCTTCAGAGAGGACGTCTCCATTTATCTCTCGAAACACTTGGCTTGGTTGTATGCACCGTCACTGTCACTTGGGAGAACTGTTCGCCGTTTGCCCCACCGGCCATGACCCTGCAGCACGGTCCCAGTCGTGCACGTTGTTAACTATAGGAAGGGACTCTGTCGTTCCTTCTTCTTCATAGTCCGTGGTTCATGTGGCGTGCCATTTGCTCACAGGTTAAATAAAGATAGGGCTGGCCTGGAGGCAGCAACAGGACTGTTGTAGTTATTTGGGTGTGACGAGATGAGGAGGCCAGAGCAGAGTGCTGGCCATGGAAACGGCGTGGAAGAAGTGGAAGTATGAGACTTATGAAAGAAAATGGGCAGGCCTTGGTGACTGGCTAGACCAGGAGACCAAGAAAGAGAATGGAGTTATAGAGTCCTCGGGGCTGAGGGATCAGGGGCCCGTGGTGAGGTGACAAAAGGTAAGGGATCTGGTGAGGGGGAACAGTTTCAGGAGGAAGCTGGTAAATTTGGCTTAGACCATGTTGAGCTTAACCTTGTAATGTCAACGTCCATCTCAAAGCAAACTGTGTTGTTGTTTTTCTTTTAAACACTTGTTTTGCAGGGAGCACTCGTTGGTCTGTTGGCTGGATTTGGTGCTTCTTTCTGGGTCGGAATTGGAGCTCAGCTTTATCCCCCTCTTCCTGAGAGATCCATGCCGCTTCCCCTCCAAACCAGTGGCTGTACTAATAGCACAGGCAATGGGACAAATTGGATGACAACTACAGAAATGCCATTTTCTACTAGTGCTTTTCAAATACACAATGTTGAAAGGTATTGAATTGAGCTTTATAATGTCATAATTTTTAAAAATAGATATGTGGCAGCCCTGGCTGGTGTAGCTCAGTGGATTGAGCACGAGCTGTGAACCAAAGCATCACAGGTTTGATTCCCAGTCAGGGCACATGCCTGGGTTGCAGGCCACGGCCCCCAGCAACCTCACATTGATGTTTCTCTCTCTCTCTCTCTTTCTCCCTCCCTTCCCTCTCTAAAAATAAATAAATGAAATCTTTAAAAAAATAGATGTGGCAGGTAAAAAACCCCAGTTTCTTCCTGCAACACGGTGGTTTTTGCATAATTTGGAAATGAGTAGAGCGCAGTGGCTTTCTGCTATAATAGCTTGTTCAGAAATAGCAAAATAAAAAGCCATACTTTTTCAGTTTCTATAGAAACTTCTGCCTTACCTACAGATCTGGAGAAGGCTTGAATACTAACAACAACAACAAAAATAAAAATTCCATTATGGGCAAATGCTATGAAGTATCATCTCTAGTTGAGTGAAAATTTTCTTCGTCAACTTAAAAACTTTTAAAGTGAAAAGCTCAATTATGGAAAAAAAAACATTGCTTACATAGTCTTTGAAGTATACAGGTTTTACTGACCAAAGCTACAGTTGTCTAAATATGTGGCTATTTGTTCAGTTTTAAAGATTCCAAATTGTTAGAGCACTAGCAGTGGGTTGGACCTGAGGCCTTCCTGCTGGAGTTTTCAGCATGCAGTACACTTTTGAGCTTCTGGTTACTGATGCTGCCTGATTTACTACAGTGATGCAGACCTGTCAGTAGATGATTGTTTTATTGTACAGGGGGTGCGAGAGCAAGGCTCTCTTTAGTGAGTATGTAGTTGACCCTTGAACAGTACAGGTCTATACTATGCGGGTGCAGTTAGTTATACACAGATGTTTTTCAATGAATACCTAAAGTACTATAAATACATTCTTCTTCCTTATGATTTTGTTAATGTTTTCTTTCTCCAGCTTACTTTGTTCTAAGAATACAGTACATAATACACATAACATACAAAATATATGTTCATTGACTGTTTATGTTGTTGGTAAGGCTTCTGGTCAACAGTAGGCTCTTAGCAGTAAAGTTTTGGGGGAGGCAAAAGTTATGTGCACATTTTCAGCTGTGCAGCTGGCTGGGGCCTCAACGTCCTCATTTTTCAAGGGCCAGTTGTGTAAATGTCCAGCCTGAAAGCATAAACCCTGTGGATATGGCCAAGGACCGGGAAGACGAGACCACTGCCCTCAAAGTATTGGCCCAGTTCCAGCTTGCCCTGAATAAAACCATTGGAGAACCATTCCCTTGCAGGGGTGTCCAACCTGTAGCCCATGGACTGCATGCAGCTCAACTCAAAATTGCAAATTTACTCAAAACACTATGACAGTTTTTTGTGATTATGTGTCACAATGTATTTCATATGTGGCCAAAGACAACTCTTCTTCTTCCAGTGTGGCCCAGAGATGCTAAAAGGTTGGACACCTGTGCTAAGGTCAAAACATGATCTCTCTCTCTTGAGAGAAGTAGTGTGACATTATTAGTGATTTATGTCCCACAGGGAATTCAGCTATGAGAATGTTTGTCAGTGGGAGCTCAAGGTTGGAACTCTCCACAGGTAGAGACTAAAGGTCATTCCAGAACCTGGGGCATATTTAGAGAGATTTGACTAGGTGGGCTGCTGTGGGGAGAGGGGTACGGAAATGCAGGGAGCAGTCTGGACAGGCACGAAACCACTAATGAGGGCCCTGGTGAGATGTCATTAGTCAGAGTCACAGGGGAGAAAAGATTAATGGGAGGGTAAGTGGGAGGATGTTCAGGGTGTACTTATTTTACAATTTTTTAATTGTTGTTCAATTACTATTTTCCTCATTCCCCCCCTCCCATTATTCTCCCATGCCTTACCCACCCCCACCTCGTGCATTCAATCCTCCCCTGGCCCTTGTCTTTGTTCATGGGTTCTTTATACACGTTCCTTGACTTGACCCTTCCAATTATGCTCATCATTTGTTCTGATTATGTAAACATCTCTCTTAATTTAAGAGTCTAAGAGAAAAATGGTTATTTGAATCCCTGAAGCAAATAAATCAGCTGAGGTTTACTGTGTGCCTGGTACCATAATAACACTTTTATATGTTAGCTTATTTATAAAATAACTCAGCTAATAAACAGGTTCTTTTAAATATGAACTGTGTACTCAGCCCTGGGCTGGTTCCTCATGTGGCAGCCACAGAAAGTCTTCCCCTCACAGTTACTGTGGCTCTTGCCTTACAGGAAATGATCCCTTAGCTGGAGAGAGTGTATTAATATACACAAAACAACTAAGTCAGTAAGTACAATAAGTATAATAACCAGCACCTGGTAGGTAGCTAATAAATGCTTGATAAATACTTGTTAAAAGGATGAATATAAACAAAGCTGAAGCATAGATGTGTATGAAGACTTCACAGGTGTCGTCCCACTAAAAGAATGCAGAGGTTGGCTAGAGGGAGAAGTTCTGGAAAGTCCTTCTTGTCATAGAAAATGACCAGAAGGAAAGTCAGACAAGAAAATAAACTATTGAACAACACACTGAGACAGGGGGTAACCCTGGGCTGTCATGGGGGCCAGGAGGAGGAAGAGCCTAACATAGTCTGGGTGGAGCCAAGGAAGCCTTCTTAGAAGAATATTACACGAGCAGGAGCCAATCAGGTGAACGAGGCTGGGAGAAGGGGCAGAAGGAAGGAGGACTGCGCACTGCAGAACGGAGAAACAACGTACGGAAAGGCGTGCTGGCCTGAATCCGCACGGCATCTTCGGAAATCATCCAGAGGGCCGTCTCACTGAAGATGGAACAAGAGGCCCATCGGTGGCCTCACTCCTGGGTTTCGGTCACCCGGATTCAGTTTTTACTTTTTTAAGTTCCCAGTACGTGCCCACTGTGCTTCTGAGGGCTGGTGTTCGCCCCTCTCTAGGGCGCTTTCTTCCGGAACCTTTTGTGATTCAGATCTCAGTTTAAATGTCACTGCTTCACAAAGGCTTTCTCTGACCACACATCAGGTTGTAGTTCCTTCTTTCCACCCTGTTAATGTCACATGGCCTCGTTTCCTTTTCCATTACAGCACTTTCCGTCAGTGGAAGTTACTACACTGATTAATTCGTTGACTTGTTTATTGTGTTTATCTCCCCGTTCGAATGTAAACTCTATGCGTGCAGGAACCTCACCTTCCTTTTCAATGGTAGACTTTCAGATGACAAGAATGGTGCCTGGGACACCAATCGGAGTTGAATGAACGCACACGGACATTTAGTATTATAGTATAAAGTCAAGGTTAAGTCATACTTTTCATTCCTGATCCAATAAGATAAACTTGGGACAGCAGGTTATGACATTAAAATCATTATGAAACATTGCATTTAGAGTTTTCCATAAGGATTATTGACACTCTTAGTTGCTAGGAGCATTACGTGACATCTCACAGTTACGCTGTGCTCTCTCTTAGGACTCCACTCATGGATAACTGGTATTCCTTATCGTACCTGTACTTCAGCACCCTTGGGACTTTGGTGACGTTACTCGTGGGAATGCTTCTCAGTTTATTAACAGGTAAGTGTATAAACACCAGTGTTGTATTTTTTTACCTCTACATCAGTTTTTACCATATCTGTTCTCTAGCTGTTTATGTTATTTCACTATAGTCCTGTTAACAGCTAGTTTAATTGTTTGCTGCATTTTACTCATGGGAAGTTTGAGGGCAGGAGACTCATCTCTATTCGAATCTTTGTTCTGCCATTTACTAGCCACATGCACTTGGAAAAGTCTGTATAGCTACTCTGAGCCTTAGCTATCTTTTGTGTGAACTGAGAATAATAATAATCGACCTGCCTGTCTCACAGGTTGCTTTAAGACAAAAATAAAATGCTTGAAAGAAATTGCATAATCCCACTACAATGCTAGGGATTTTACATATATTGTTACCACAGCCCTGTGTCGTTGTCCCACACCGACCTTTGTGAACTGTACAGAAGTACAGACATGTGAGGAGTGATGATTATAAACTTTATAGTAAATAGTGTGTGAGGGCTATTTGCAGATGTTCATAAACTTTAAAAAAATAATTTAATAAATCAAATTGATAATGCACATAGTATACGCTGCTCTCTTGGATTGCTGCAGAACTGTTTCCCTGGGACTTCGGTTTGTCCTCTCTCCTTGAATTCCCTTGTTCTCCTTCCTGTGTGAGATTCCCTGCCGTCTGCACCCTACCTCTCCTGATTCTGGTTTACCTCCTTAATTGAATGCATCACGTGGAAAAGAGGAGATTTTGGAAGAGATGCATGCCTGAAGAAAACATCTTTAATGCTCCCTTTTACTTGATTGTTTGAGTAGAGAATCCTAGGTTAAAAATAACTCCCTTGTCTGTGAGAGGATGTCTTAATTTTCATCTGGCTTTCCTGTGTTTCTGTTGAGAATGCCAGTGTCATGCTACCTGCCGACCCCTTGCCTGTGGCCCCTTTCACAGCGCTGCCCTGCTCGAGGCCGTCAGTGGGGCCTTGCAGTCTGAAGACCCATGATCTTCAGTTCTGGGGCATTTTCTTATATTATTTCTTTTGTAATTTCCTGCTTTCTCTTTCTGCAAAGTCCCTTTAAGTTAAATGTTCCCATCTTGTAGAGTTCTTCTAATTTTCTTACCTTTTCTCTCCTATTTTCCACCTCTGTGCCTATTAGGTCTACTACATGGGATAATTTCTTCAACTGCTTTTCCAATACTTCTCAAAGGAGCACTCTGACCCAGCCTTGAGAATAGTCTGTAAGGGAAGGAGGGCAAGCCTCTAGTAGGAGGCTTTGCAGTAATCAGGTGAGCGGTCACAGTGGCTCGGACCAGGCTAGTAGCGTGGGTTGGTGAAAAGAGCCAGGCTCTCTCGTTTCCTACATTCCCGCACACGGTTGCATCCATAGCAGCCAGACTGGGGGAGGCAGCTCCACCGCCCTCTTTATCCGATGTGTAGCAACCAGTCAGACATCCTGCACTTGGTCCCAGTGTGTGGGATGTCTTTGCTTTCTGCTACAAAGCTACCAGCACCGTGACACTCGAAGGAATCCTTCTCTCGTTGTTTTTTGCTACCCGAATAGCACTGTCTTCCAAACTTCTGACACTTGTGTTTATAATTAATAAATTATGTGAATAATTACTGGTGAACATAATATAATTATATCTATATTAATTATAATATTATTATCTATTATAACGTATAATTATGACCCATTTAGAACAAAGCTTGTAACTATTTGTTAACCGTGAAACAGTTGTTTTAAATTACTCTGTTTCTTTTCAAAACAAACTGGGCTTTTTCTCGTAAATAAAATTACCAGCACAGTAGGCTTGTTCTCTTGTCTGTTTTGATACACAGAGTGGGCAAAAGTACATTTACAGTTGTTTGTATGGAAAATAATACCATCATTAACAAATAATACAATAAGAATAAACTCTGTGTTTCTCATACTCACAACTGTAAACCTACTTTTGCCTCTTCTTGTATATTAAGACAAATTTTAAATTTTTCTCACCAGTAATCCAGTTGTTTATATCTGGAACACAGCTAACCTGCACTATCAGACTTTTGGTCCTTATTTAACCCATTTTTTTCCTTTAAGAATGGGGTATTAGAGAAATCTTTTTTTTCCTTAAATGCTTTGATTTTCAAACCCTACACAACTGCATGTTTTGTTTTAAAAAGTAAAGCTCTTTCCAGGAGAACAGGCATCCAGTTTGGTTAAAAAACACTTCAACTTTATACATGTCGTAAATGACATTCTCACTCCACAGCGGCAGTGAACACCTGGGAAAGAATCTAGAAACATAAAATTCTGGTGCTCCTTGGGAATTATATTTCAATTCTACTGTAGGATACTGGGAATCTGGAAGACCAGGCCAAATAGACTTGGTGGGTGTTTAAGCGTCACCTCACCAGGCCCTGTGCACTGGGAGCATGTCTCATCATCGGGGAAGTGGGGTGAAGAGTTCCCTGAGTAGATGGCGAACTGTGAGTGCGGGGACGGTTTTCCTCACTCTGCCTCTCCAGCACCTCACAGAGTCTCCAGCACGTGGTCGGCAATGATGTTGAGTGAATTCATCTGAAGCTGATCTCCTCTTGAGAACAGCAGAGGTTCCCAAAATTAAAACTCTAGTATTTTTACTAAAGTGGTGCTTCTCAAATATTGGAGGGAATAATGATCACTTCGAAAATTTGGTGCAAGTCAGAATTCAGTGCCCGTCCCCCCAGAGATTCTAACTGGGCCTTTCCAGGTTGGAGTCGGGGAATCTGCATTTTAAGTAGTTCTCCTAGGCGATTTATGTGGAGGTTCTTTGAGATACACGGTTTTAAAAGCATCCTCTTTGATCCACAAATAAAATAACAAATCAAAGCAAAACCTTCGGGAAGAGGAATTGGATCAAACACCAATCATCATATTGGTTTTTATTTAAATAATTCATTCAACCGTTTATACTTTCCTGCATTTCTTCACACACATCCACATTCATAGCCACCAAATAGAGAAAAGGCAACTTGACCATCTGAGGCAGAGGCAAATGCTTTGATATTTTATTTGTAGATCGTGAAGGATGCTCTTAAATTGGTTTTCCCACCAGTATCGGGCCACATGACACGTTCTCTAGTTGAGTACCAGGTGAGGCAGCTGGCTTGCATTTATCTTGAAACACTGGACTCACACTGATCAGTGCCAGCCTTGCAGAATAAGGCAAGGGAGACAGTGGGCTAAGTGTCCAGCACTATCTAAAAGCTTTTCTTTCTCTTTGTGTTTTATGTGTGTAGAGTTGAATGTGCACAAGTTCAATGCCTGTGTGATGGGTGGTCACTGGGTAGTTATAGGTATCCTTTTAATAATGTAAATAATGTGTATATTTTTCAGGAGGAAGAAAACAAAACTTAGACCGCAAATTTCTCTTAACTAAAGAGGATGTTTTATCAACTTTTGACATTTTTAAGAAAGTAAGTTGGATTTCTTTTTCCCTCAAATTAGTACAACTGCTTTTACCACCTGAATAGATAACTAGTTGGTCTTCGTAGTCCTTTGAACTGATGGACAAGGAAGGTCTTTGCCCAATTTCATGACTTGTTTTTGTTCTCTCTCTCCCTTGGTAGACAGCTCCCTTTCCAAAGCCGATTTGGAAAAAGCAAAGTGATAGTGACTATTTAGAATTAAACGGATGAACAGTTCCTTTTTCTAATGACCATGTTAACATTTTCTTTCAGAAGGACCGTGTTTTAAGCTATAAATCTCATCCAGTAGAAGATGGTGGAACCGATAATCCTGCTTTCAACCACATTGAATTGAACTTCACAGATCAAAGTGGCAAGATCAATGGGACTCATTTGTGAAACAGCTGTGATACTAGATGACCCTACCCAGTGTCCCAGTTTTCTGTGTTTTCAAAGATAATCCGATCAGGGTTAGGCATTTTTTTTTTTTTGTTCTGTCACGAGTGTTTTGGAGGAAACTTTTGGGGGATAAAATTTTGTTAGGCACAGTCCTGACTTTCCTCATTGACTACACTCATTAATGATGCTGCTCTGGAGTTCAGAGTGTCTGTGTCAGCATTCCCGTGTCTCACTGCTTTGTATCCATGAAGCTATCGTTGTGAAAGTTAGGATCCCCTATGTGCCAAAAGGATAACACACACATACACACATATTTGATGGTCAAAAGCATATTCTTAAATTCAGACATTATTACAAATATTTTTCCACACTTTTGGTGCTAGCATATAAGTTTGAAATGCACTTCTCTCCCTCCTACTACATACTCTATTCTTAGGGAGAAATGAAGCAACAGGTCTGCGTTGTGTGTATCTTTACTTTTCATTGACCGTTCCCAGCCCAGGGCACACATTAGCCTTGAAACCAATTCTGGCTCAGGGAGGTAGTAATCAAGAAACGTACTGTTTGGGACAGAATATGGGTCCAATTAGCAAGGTCTTCTTGGTGCCAGCATCTATTCATATGCCTTGTAGCTTGTTAGCTAGAGTTCCTGGCCACCGGCTGCTTGTATTGCCTTTCTTAGACTCTGGGTCTCGTGTGCACTCCTAGTTTCTTTCGCATCAGCGTTGGTTTTCTTGTGCACTTTACCTTTGCTTGCCTTCCTAATTTCCTGTTTACCCTATTGTCTTGAGATGCCTCATGGGAATCATGCTAACCCACATCCTGGTTCACTAAGCCCTGGCCTATAAATCATAAACACCCATGAGCCTAGTACTGACTAAAGTACCTTCGGCGTAGGTACTCATGCATTTGGTGATTCAAGGACATTCACATGATTAAAAATGGTTAAGCTCCTTGGAATTTCCCTTGATGATTACAGTGAATGCCATTAAGTTGAATTTTTGAATGTCAACTACTTTGTAATCAACTGAATTTAATGATACATATGCTTAGAAATCCTGAATTCTAGTATATCCTCCCAGTTAAAGAGCTAAATTACATAGGCAAACACTAGTTTTCTTTAATGTTCTGGAATTACTAAATGTATGGTTTGTTCCATGTTTTAACATTTCAAGTAGGAGCCTTGAAGTTTATTTTGTTTATTTTGCTACATTTATAGCTAAGAGTTTGGTAAATATTAAGGCTTTCCTCAATAACTTTTTTCCCTGTAGTGCCCATATTAGATATTGTTTAGAAGATTTTTTTAGCTTTGCAATGTTTTAAAATAATTTCAGAAGTATTTATGTACATTAATCTATTTTATAATTAAATATGTTTCTGCTTTTTTCTGATATTTAGGGAAGCATGCTCATTTATGGTAGCTAATTGAAAGCATTAAGAAATAAAAAATAGGAAGTAGCATTTATCTAAAACATGGATTTATATAACAGTTAAGTAACAATGTATTCATATATTTTATATGTGTATAGATATTATTTTTAAATCAGTGTATTTGTAAGCACATTGAATTTTGTAAATCTGTAAATTTGAATGAGTAGAAAGACAATCTTTTTTTGTTTTATGTGAGTGTGATTTGAACTGTTGTTATTTATTTGATAATTCTAAATGCACATGTGTGTAGAACTCTTCAGTTTTGGAAATCAATATCAGGTCATTTAAATATTTTCTTCTCATATCTGACTGCCAAGGGGTTTGCAGTGTATTTTTAGTGAGAGAGAAGGTACTTCCATTTTTCTCCACTTTCTTTTACCACAGTGTGTCTTTGTGATTAGGAGCTGTTGAGCTTTTACTTTTATAAATATGTGACTTTCAGATACAAGTTGTTTTTTCTTTTCAATGAGTATATCGGGGTGACACTGGTTAACAAAATTATACAGGTTTCAGGGGCATAGTTCTACAATGCATCATCTGTACTCTGTTGACCTTTTACTTTCATGGATATTTGAGTGGCAGATATAATTATTAAGAAAAGTTATATTATTCTTAATTATTAAAAATTATTTATTTAATCTAAATCTTTGGGCAAAATCAAAGAAATAACCTAATATTCTTAATTATTTTTTATCATAACAACTCGAATGGGAGGGAAAAACCCACATAAGTTGTCTATTTTTGTCACTGACATGTTGTGAACCTTGAATTTATTATTTATTTCCTCTAATAATGAAACATAATACTAAACATCTACCTCACAGAAATAATGTGAGTATCGAAGATCTGATAGCACTTTATTAACTCAAATAGTGTTACTTTGAACCTCAGTATGATTGGAAATCAAAATTTGAAACAAAGCTCATTTAGTAATTAAAAATACTGAGCTGTTGTCCTGGCTGGTGTGGCTCAGTGGATTGAGTGCTGGCCTGTGAAGCAAAGAGTTGCCAGTTCAATTCCCAGTCAGGGCACATATCTGGGTTGTGGGCCAGGTCCCCAGTAAGGAGTACTTGAGGCAACCACACATTAATGTTTTTCTCCCTCTCTTTCTTCCTCCATTCCCCTCTCTCTAAAAATAAATTAATTAAATCTCAAAAAAATACTGAGTTGTTAATAATTTGCAATGTAATAGTATGGAGATTGTTTCTTCTCTGAAAAATGTGTCATAGAAATATCAAAATACAGTTTGTGGTCAGCAGGATTACTCTAACAGAGAGAACACAAACTTTAAAGAAGGCTCTAGACCAGTCATCTTCACTCCACAGAGAACTAAAGTTTTATATGTAGGATGTAAAAAAGTATAAATTGTATTCATCTATGTAGGTGCTCATGCAATCATTTTCTCTCCAGACCAATGGTTCTCAATGGGGAAATTTTGCACCTTAGGAGACATTTGGAAATGTTTGGATACATTTTTGGTTGTTCATAGGTGACAAGGAGGTGGTATTGGCATCTAGTGACTACAACTTAGGGATGGTGCTCAACATCCTTGATTTGTACCTCTGCAACAAAAAATGGGCCTGCCCCAGGTATAATAGTGTCAAGTTTGAGAAATCCTGTCCTGGAGGCTAAGGTTGCAATCTTTTTTTTTTTTACTTTATTTTTATTGTTTCCACTATTACAGATACCAGGATTGTAGTCTTGATTTTCCTTAAGTCACACACCCTGGTTACATTCCTTCAGGGAAATTGCCATGAGTCTTCTAACTGAGCTTGCTCACCTACAGGTGAAGAGTAAATGCCACTAGCGTATGCAATGTTAAGATGTAGAATAATGACCTGTATTTTCACAGCATTTTGAAAATATTAAGGATAATAGAATTGTAAGTAATTGTGAAAACAACAGAGTTTTGTTTCCCAACATGATTTCCAGAATTAACACATGTTAAGATGAAGGAAATATGAATATGAAGATTTTATAATATTGTTTTTTATGAAAACCCCATAAAGTATAATTTATTGTTAAGAATTATGTGTCTGTCCAGGATGTACAATAGCTACAGAGGGGAACTGCTCTCTGTGTTGATTCTTACAGAAAATTCTGATGTTTTTTTCAATAATGATTGTTGATATGAGGTCAAATGAGTTCATGACCATTTAGTTTCTGAAAAATCACTGTACAACTTAGTGATGATAAAATTTACTTTTAAATTGTGTGCCCATTGTTTGTGAAAAAGCTTGAGAGACTTGAAAATTATCATGTAAAACCTGGCTGCATTTCTGATTTTTCAACTTGATTAAATGCTCTACACGTGTCTTTGAAGCTGTCTATTCTTGGGTAATTGAATATAATTAATTTTATCAGCTTTTACAAAGGTTATTTCCACCCTATTTACCACATAATGGACTCTTCCTATATACTCTATATAGTTTAAGCAAATAACATTCAAAATTTTTTGTCACTGAAGAATATATTATATATATTTTAATAGTTTATTTTTATTGTGTTTTTTCCATTACCATTTATTCCCCTTATACCCTCTTTCACCTCCACCAACCCCCCTCCCCCCTGCAATCTCCACAGTTCTTCATGTCCATGAGTCCCTTTTCTTTTTTGCTTGACCCCTCTACCCCCACCCCCAGCCCCAGCCCCATCCCTAGAGCTGTCAGCCTGCTTCTCAATGACTCTGTCTCTATTTTTCTTGTTAGTTCAGTTCGTTCATTGATTCCACATTTTAGTTAAATCATAGTAATTAACACTATATTTGAAAATAGAAAGTAATGTCTTTAATACTGGATATTTCTTAGCCATTATCTCTGTGAATATTCTCCCTTTCTCATTTTCTCTATTCTGTGACTCTTTAACTCCTGGTACATGAGCATTGCAAATTTTTATCCTCTTCTCCATGTCTTCTAATCTGGATCATAACTTCTATTTTTTTATATCTATGTAATACATCCTTGATGATGACAAAGAAAAGCCATTTGAGAGTTAAACAGAAGTAAAATATAATGTAATTTTGAAGTAGAGGAATAGGAAGCCTCCTATTCACACGTTTAAGACAGTGAGAAACATGTCTCAGTAATGATGACACTCGAAGTGCGTGCAGTTCAAAACAGGACCAGTTGCTGAAGTAGATGAAGGGGCAAATAAAGGGGATAAGGGACAGAGGTGGAGAGACAAGAGATAGGAGATAGAATACCTAGATTTACGTTCCTTCTGCAGCCACGGGAAGACAAGATTTCAAAAAAATGAAGAGAGTCAAGAAATACCTTGTTTTACACAATGAAGAAGCAAGGGCCTGGCTCAGGGAGGCTGTGAACAGGGGCGGTAATCAAGCAGAGAAGAGAGGCAGGTGAGGAGCTTCAGAGGCAAGTACAGCGGTGAAATAATTCAGGAAATATAAGCCATGACCTCCCCCTCTCCCAGAGCACTCAGTTGCCTCCTAGGCTCATTCTCATATTGCAATAATCAGGCCTTTGGTTTTACAACTCAGAAAAGGATGCTTCAGCAAATACCAGAGAAAAGAGGGATTTCTTTTCTGATTTTGAATGTCAAAAATCTAGCTTTTAGGATGAAATATCTTGGACGGTAAGAGCTAGGCTCTCTACAGTAGAAATGGACTCCCTATGCCTGGAAGGTAAGAGAGAAGCGATGAGCGTTAATATATCTGTAGGTCACTACTCCATGTGCTGAGCCCTCGGATGGCAACGGCAAATCATCCTACATTTGTGGGATTTGAAAATCAACAAAACTTGGTGTGCCTCTTCCTGGTTCGAGCACAGAGCATTAAATACATAGCTGAGTGCTATGTCTGGGCAGGCATATGGCTTTGGAGTATTACAGAGACTTTACCATGTTTAATAAGTTCAGAAGCAGAAATTGCTAAATGAGGTATCCAGGCAAATAGGAATTCAGCCTCACAATTTCCTACAACCTAGTGCAGTAAAACGTAAGGAAAGAAACCCGTACGGGATAAGGCTCAAAGAGTCTGAGACCTATTTAGACTTGACAATGAAGAATTTCATGGTTTTCGAACAGAACATGAACGTTATAATCTTAGGCAATTAAAAAAATCTAGGCAGGAGGGGGAGTGGTGATGGGAGGAAGAAACACTCTCTATAGCAAGTAATCAGCACTGCAGCTAAAAGTTGATTCCAACCTCTTAATGCTCTTCATGATCTCTTCCTTAAACATAGCCATCTGTGCTCACTGCTGCATGCTCAGCATCTGGAACAGAGTCTGGCCCAATAAGTGTTGAATGACTGAATTCACAATTCCTGCCTCTTGGAGTTTTCATCCACCTTTTTGCTTCTTTGTTGGTTTCTAAATGTGTCACCAGTTTGATTCCCTAGCAAGCAGAGTCTGAAATGTAGTTTCATGTGCTTCATGTTTATTAAGGAGCGCCTTTTTAGGATCAACCCGTGTGGAAGAAAGAGGACAGAAGCAGGCATGAGCAGGGGTGGAGTTTGAGCTGTAAAGCAGACCCGAGGAAATCCCCCCACGGAGACTCTGGCTGCAGAGGAGCCCTTCAGAGTTACTCCAAACCGGGCCAAGACGGCCAAGCTTTCGCATTCCTGCATCAATTAGCTGTGGTTAAGGGCTGTCACGGGAAGCGGAGCGTCTTAGGCCAGGTGATCCTCCGCAGCCAGGGCCCCGTGAAGGGGTGGAGACACGAAGGCCGGCTGCCAAGGACCGCCCCCAAGGTCAGGGGCCCAAGGTCCTTCGCAGAAGGGGGAGCTCTGCAGTGTACTACGGTGTCCACTTCACGAAGTAACTGCTTTTTAGAGAACGTAAGTCACGTATCCAAGGTCATCCACCTTGGATCTGAACTTAGTTTTATCTCACTGTGGAGCCCGTAATACTAATATTTTTGTTCCATTGTACCTGTTGCCTTAGCTCATTCCTAAATTGGAGAGGGTGGGGGTTGGAGTTCGGAGGACTTGTCCTCAGGTTTCGGGGCTAATGCAGTGCAGGTCAGGGTGCAGGACCTTTGTGGGGCACTGACTCAGTCCTTTGAGAAATGCCCAGGGTTCCGCTCACCTAGGAACCTGCCGTGATGGTGCCTTGTGTCGAATGATGTGATTATTAGCTGCTAACTGCCACAGCTTGAAATTGCCACCCACCCACTTTTCCCCCAGAATGAGATATTTTCCAAATATTTTACAGTCAGATAAAACTAAGTTCAGCTTGAGTTATAGAGCATATTAAAGTAATTCAAATGGTGGCGAATATTGACTAGATCAGTCGTTTTCAAAACGTGGGCCCCACTAACAGGATCGACGCCACCTGGGTACTTGAGGCAGTTGAAATTCTCGGGCCCACCTTAGACTTACCGCAACAGACGCTGTGGTGTTGGGAGCAGGCAACTCTAAGGCGGGCTAGGGCGAATCTGGGAGCTACTGGACCTGATGATGGTAATGATAACTAGCAGGAAAAACAAACTGGGTTTGTGATTGGCAAATACACTATATAGAAATTATTTCTTTTAAGAAATTACTTTAGGGGAAGGGAGGGAGAAGGAGAGCAATATCCACGTGAGAAACACTGATGGGTTTCCCTCCTGAAGGCGACGGGATGGCGCCCTGACCACGCCTGCAACCCCGGCACACGCCCTGCGGGAGGATTAAACCCGTGACCTCCGTGTTTACTGATTGACGCCCCAACCAGCTGAACCACACTGGCCAGGGCTAGAGATTATTTCTTTAAAACTGGTTTATTCACAGTTTAGTGTTGCTTTGCTTCTTAGACCTCAGTCCTTTCAAATGACCACAACTTCCTAATTAGTAAGGTCTGAATTAATGAAGTTAATTCCTTTCCTGGGAATGGGTGAGGGACGCTGAGGACAGCTCAGCACAGGGCCCCACTAGTAACAGCTTTAGCATTTACCTCTCCCTGCCAGGTAATTAAGGGATCCAAACTGATTGCTAAGCCAGCCTTCCTTAATTCTTTTTGGTTGGAAGTATTACAGAATTGGTACCTAAATCCAGACAGTCAATTGGTCTGGGGAAATTCCTCTATGTCCTCATTGGAAAGACAATTGCTAGCCCTTAAATCTGAGTGACTTACTTTTTCACTGGAGTAGAGGATTATATTATAAAGTTGACGTTTTACCCTTGGCTCTTTTATGGTGAAATAAAATTGAGTTCAAATTGATCGCATGCTGTAAACAAAAGTGTGTCTCCCTTTTGACTCACTTAAGAAACACTGGGACTTGACCTGCAGGCATTACACTGTTAGGCACTGGGGAAAGGGCAAGGGAAGGGGGGTTCTTGACTTCCATCACTTACAAACTGTCTGAGGCCATGAGGCAGATATGCACATACTAGCTAAGAGCTGGAGTGAGTGGGGCAGATTATGCAACAGGGGAAGTGAAGGCAGAGGGAGCCCAGTGGACAGGACTTGCTGGGAAATGTACCAGTACTTGTTGAATAGTTAGAGTTTGAGCTAGACCTTGAAACTAGAGATGATCTGAATAGGCAAAGAAGAGAGGAAATACGTTTCACTAGGAAGTGTGGTACATGAGGAAGAGGATGAGCAACGCTGTGAAAGGAGTGAAGGAGTCTGCTCTTCTGGAGAATGAGAGGAGACAACCTGGTCAGCATGGAGTTGGGACTGAGGCGGAGGAAGACAGTGTAAGTGGAGTGGCCAGCTTTGAAGGCCAGGAGGCAGGGTTAGGACTTTCGTCAGAACTTGCCCCAGAATTGTTCAGGGTTGGGAGTTGTTGAATCCTAGGTCTGCTGCCAGGTCAGCTAAAGCAAAAATTTTCCAGTTCCAAGATTAAGTCCCCTTGCTAACTATTTGGATAATTTTATATGCAGAATCACTACTTTCCTGAGCGATCCAGACAGCCAAGGTTTGAATGACAATTACAGTGTCAAAGGAGGATATTTTTCCTATTCTAGTTTTATGAAGACTAATAACATTAGGTAGGTTAGAAAAATCCTCAAATTATGGCATTAACATTATGCATGATATTTAAAATATTCTACCATCAAGACAGGGAAACGAAGCTCATAAACATGCTAATATTTTGATGGTTATATTACTCGTTGTGTACACATTCATGCAGTGGACACTTGATTTCTTTGTTTCTAGTTTTATTGAGATGTAATGGACATACAGTGCTGTGTAAGTTTAAGGTGCACAGCAAATGATTCAACTTATATATATTGTGAAATAAAATTGAGTTAACATCTGCCATCTCATATAGATACAAAAAAGAAAAAGAAAAACTGTTTTTTTCCTAATGATGAATACTGTTAGGATCTGCTCTCTTAACAAATTTTAAATATATCCTACAAAAGTATTAACTATAGTCA